AAGGTTTTCCAGTCTTTCAGTAGTGCTTTAAAGTAACAATGTTCCCTTTTGGACCAAGGAGAGCCAGGCAGGTCATTTAGGCACTAGAAGAGTTTTCAGGGATATGATTCACTTTTGATCTATACCATGATCTTTTTTTAAGACAGGTCAGTCTGGTATTTTGGTCTTCCTGTAGAAGTTGCTGCTTGGTTTATTTAATGATAGTGATTACATAGGAATCATCATTAAATGATATGGAAGGAATGACTTGTATTAATCCTTGCACATAGGTGATTTTTGAATTTGTTGTCTCTCATGGATGTCTCCTGCTTCTTCTGTCTGATTTGCTAGATCTTTTCATCTGCCCTTTATGTTCTTACCAAAGCAGTGCTGATTGATCTTTGTCTTGTATAGAAAAAAAACTTGTTTCTGTGACATTTGGGTAGTGACCAAGTTCTCTTTTTTAGCTCTGTAGCACTTCATCTCTAAAGGTCGTCTAATTTGGTGTGATTGTTTTATTATGCTCTGTGATAAATTGCAAAATGCTGAGATGAGAAATGTGCGTATTAACTGCTGCATGTAGCATTGGTTAGCTCCTCAAAATGAATGTTGTCTTCACTCACAACAGCTGTAAATACGTGGAAGGTTTTGGGCAGAAGCATACATGCTTTTAGCTGGACAGATAGTATCAGGACTCGTGCATAGACTTGAAACTGTCTGCAGGCTCCTGGTGTGAGGCATTTGTGGTTTGAATAGAAGGAGCTGGACCGGGCGGCTGATGCCTGGAAGCGCAGCCTCCGCGCCAGCCCGGCCACAGTCTTGCAATTGTTCAGCCACCCTGGAGGGAAGAGGGGGAAAAAAAAAAAAAAGGCATTCCAAGCAGTGCCAAATTTTCTTTGATATGTTAATCTTTTGATAACAGTTTGAAAAGCCCTTGGAGACTTTTTTTAGCTTTTAGACAAAATAGTTCATTTGTCAGGACTTCCCTTGTAGATAGGGTCTCAGTTATTAAGAACTGCCTCGCTAACTCATGATAACAAAAGCAAGTGCAGAGGACAGCTGCTGGGACTGCTTGTTGGTAAGAGAAACTCTTTTAGTTATCTCAGGATTTTTACAAATATCTGAAAGTAATAAAATGGGAGATGTTTAACATACAAGTTTATAAGTTTATTTGCTTGCATATTTTAATCAGGCAAACAATGACAGAGCATAAGCAGATGTAACAGCTTGATGATTTTTTGAATGCATAGTACATGGATTCTACTAAAGACTTGAGCTGTCAAAAGTCTAATTTCATCTGAGAAACTTGGTATTTAAATTATGTGGTGACTGCAGGAGATACCAAAAGTTTTTTCTTTCATAGCAGTAATTTTTCCAGACCTTGGGATTTTTCTCTTGAAAGGATGAAATTTCCAGTTAAGCTGGAAAACTGGAAGAATAAACTGATGGCAACAATGTATTTATGCTAAAGCAGAATTAGTTTTTAAGGATTATGGTCTTGAGACAAATATTGAGGAGAGCAGAGGGAAGATCTCTTTGCTTCTTACCCCTCAAATCAAACTTGAAGGGTAAAATCTGCACTGAAGTAGTTTGCTGATTATGCCAACTATTAGAAAACTGACTTCAGATCAGATAGTCCTTTGAAAGTGTGGCTTGCAGAACTCTTCAGGCTTGCTGATTGAGACTTACTGTAGCTCTTTTACAGCATTTTCTAAATAAATATGCCAGGAGTTCACTTGCACATTTTATTATGTTGCCACAAATGTTTATTGCCTCTAAATATTTTGATAGAACTGCTTGGTATCCTGGTGGTTTAGTCAGGATAGATCAATAAGTAGATATTGGTGGAGTAAGAGGTGCAATGCTGTCTTCATTGTGCAGGATGCATGTAGTTTTAGGGTGTGTACACTGCTGTTATTTCTCCAGTGATGCAATTTGTGATGGACTTTAGCTCCAAAATAATATCAGCATAAATCTGGAATTGCAGGTTCTGTCCTGCTTATAGCTACATACTCTTCTAGACACAGGTAAATAGCAAATGCAGTTGCACTTAGTTTTGGTATACTTTTTTTTGCCAAATGGCAGATTCACTGTTTAAGCTTGTAATTCACGTATATGTTCTTCCAAGTACTTGCAGTTCAGATACTGTTCAGCTGATTACTGTACCATTCATTAAATTTATACCTAAGTTGTTCTCTTAGTTTCAGTGGAAAACAGCATTTCTTTTACAGACCTTTTTGATACTTCCTGCTTTTCTGACTCTAGAAAACTCTTAGCTATGCAATAGTAGCTCAATGAGAAAAATTTATGTAAGTGGAGTGACAGTAACTTTCACCACTTCCATTGGGTTTGGCCCCTCTCTTTAAAATGACTAAATAGTGCTTTCTGATTGATATTTTCAGTTTGTTAAAGGGGGAAGGACTTCTCCAGCTGTTCACTCCTGGGAACTTGTGCAAGAGAGAGGTGAGTGGCAGCCCTTTTGGTACTTGAATATTCCTGAGTCCACATTGCTTCTTCTGAGTGCATTTCAACCCCAATTCGGGTACTAGTAAAATGCTGTACTCCCTTGTAGTCTGAAAAGTCCAAGGCTTATATTTAAATACTTAATCAACTATTTAATTAAATTTGAATATTTGATTAGGTATTTTAAGTATTGTCATGTTTAATTCCACACCATATTATAGAAAGAAAGAAAGAAGTAAAGACCAAATGCAGATGGCTGAAGTCTTTTCTGAATTGGTTGGATGCTACTATTTATTTCTTCAGTCTGACTCAGCAGCCTGAAGTCACCTCCAGAGAGGGCAACCCTGTAGAGCCTGTGGTGGTGGTGTTTAACTGCAACTGACAGTTGAGAAACAGGACAGTGAGAAACAAACCCATGCTGCATTTGAACTCTTGATGATGAGTTTGGGGTGATGATGTGTCAAAAGGGGTAAGATTGGAGAAAGATGGCTGTTCTTTGTTGCTGAATAGTAATGATTTTCTTGACCTATCAGCTAAGAGAAGATCTCTCTTCTAAATTTAGACAGTTGAGTTTAAAATGGAAAATTACAAGCAGTATGTGAAATATTGAGAATGCTGTGTTAATTGAAGGTTGCTCAGTAAATGAGTCTGTATAAAATAATGCAGATGCAGTTAATGATGTGAGTCAGAAATAGCTTCCTAATGCTGCTTGTGTATTCCCTGTATGATTCTACCCAGCTCTTCAAAGTACACATTGAATCACAGGAGTTATTGCTGGTGCTCTCAAATTTCCCTTTGTGCTGCTTTAGACTGAAAACTTGACACTCCTTCCTAGCTGTGGAACAGCCCTAAATGAAGGCAGCTGTACTTCTCTCTTATGCTGCTGCCGTGTCCCACAAAAGTGCCTGTTCTGGCATGTTTGCCACATGGAAATCTCAGTTGAGTTTTATTGATCTTGAAGTTGTTTGCATTTACTTTGCCACCTGGTGCTTGCCTGTATCAATACAGTTGTTGCTAGGTATGTTCATCAAGATTGGAGTTTTGCCTGCAGGCACTGTTTTTAGTGGTGTGGTACACTATAGTGAGGAAATGCGTATTTGTTTAGGAGCAGACTAGTTCAAGTATGATAAATCTAACAATTCTGTCATGGAGCTGTGAACTGTGCTAGAAGTATAATTCTGTAAATACAAAAACTTTTTCTGGCTGCATGACTTCTTGATTGAAAATGTGATTTGTATGGTGTACATAAAGTTGCTTGATGTTACTAATTCAAAGACTGTTCTCAGGAGCTTTCTTGGCAATCCTGTGTAGGTTCAGGACAGATTTTAACTAGTTCCTTTTATATATATATATATCTTTCCCAGGATAAAAAGTTATTTAGTGAGGAAAAGTGGCAGTTTAAATGAAAACGTGTTCTAGAACTTGTATGACTTGTGTAACAGATAAGGAACTATCAGTGATACATACCTTTTGGCTTAATTTCCAAATTAATTTGCAGGAAGAAAGGTATTTATAGTTCAGTACTGGCTAGTAACAAAAAATATTCAGCTTAAAGCAAGGAGCATGTGAACTGGTGTTTCTGTCAAAGGAGACAGTAGTTACCAAATTAGCTTCCTTCCATACAAAACATACAAATTGAGAGTGTCAAGAGCTCAATTTATGAAGTGCTGAGTAGTTTTTCACCTGTGACAGCCCCTTGTTGTGATGCAGTTCTTTGCTTTGAGTGTGTATTTCTTCCACTAGGACTTTAATCAGCAGTGGGAATAGGTTTCTCAGGAGAACAGATTTGGGCAGCAAGAGAAACCTGTTCTGTTGGGTGCCTGCTTCATTTGTTGGCTTTAATTGATAGCTTGCAGAAAACATATGAGGGTGTGATGATGTTAAGCTGCAGGAGTTGGGAGGAAGGACCTTCTGAAGTTGTCATTGCTGTTCAATATAAGTACATGGATTCAGAGGCTGGCATTGAGAGCATCTGACCTGGAGTCTGGTGACCATAAATGAACCCTGAACACCAGTGAACATTGATACAAATTGAATGGTAAAAGTATTGGAAAGAAGCAAAAAGACCATTAAGCATGCCTTGACTTAGAAATACTGGGGAGTAGACTATTTAGCATGTACTTATTTTTCTGATTTTTTTCAGATGAGACATGCATATCTTGGGTACAGTGCCTTTTGAATGATAGCCTGGCTTCTGAAAGCATCTGATTTGAGCTATTAAGTGTAGAATGATAGAAATGTGTAATCTTTATGTACTTTTAAGCTTTTTTAATGTTTGCAGAATGTACCAAGAATTGTTTGCTGCATGTAGAATATAACCAGGTTGTATTGGTACAAGCTCTTTTCCCTCATTCAAAGTCTGCTGTTTCTGCAATATTTCATTTGTGCTCATCCAGCATTCAATCTTAAAGCTTTACTAGAGTTCTACAGGTTGTTACTACTGGAAAATAGTAACAGTGCAATTTTAAGATCTGTATTAATATGTTGTCAACGTGTTTTAATACTTGGGTATAAAACCAGTGACATTGCTCCAACTTTTAATTCTTTTGTTGTTAAAGGTCTTCCATATCTCAAGTCGAGAAGTTCCATATCATCCTAAACATGGAGAAAGAAGAAAAGAAGTTTGTCAATAAAGCAGAGGAAGATGAGATGGTAATAAATTCTGTTCATCTATTTTTATACAGTGAAAAAAAACACATTTTCCTGGTTTTCTCTCTCAGTGGGGTGTGTTACAAATATTTGTCATGGGAGATGCAGCAGTTAGCTTTGACAAGGAGACAGGGGCAGCTGATCTTTAAATTTCTAGTCCATTCTAGAGACAGCAGAAACTATTTGGGGTATGTAGGGATTTTTGTTTTAAAACATGGTAGATTCCTGTGAATTGAAGTCCTTGTTCTGTATTTGTGCATGCTGCTAGGAAAATGTGCTCTTCAGTAGACCAGCTCTAGCATGGGGAGTAGGCAAATACATCATACAACAAAAATTGAAACTGAGATGCTTATGGTCTCATCACTAAAAATAAATGCTTTTTAGAGGAAATGATTTGTTTTGCCCCAAAGAAGCATCGACCTCTCCCCCTATTTTTCACCCACCTGTTTTTATTGGTAAGGAGTGAATACTGGCTACAGTATTTTGAAAATAGCAGGGAATGGGTTTTGTCTCTGCTTTTTGTCAGCTGAGAAGGCTGCAAAACAAACTTTTTAAAAAGCCTTAAGAAAGGAGTTGTCTTGAGTTCAGCCAGGACATGACAGGAGTTTAAACCATGACAGGAGTTTAAACAATTTCTAGTGCTATTTAATAAAAAGTACAAAAAAAAAACAAAACCAAAAATGTTGTCAATATGAACAATGTGGGTGGGACCCAATGGGAAACTTCATTGCCCTTTTGTAGCAGGAAATATAATCTAATGATGTAATGTGAAACTCAGGAATGTAACACAGCATCTACTAAGTCACTGAATTATATTCTCTTCCTGGCTGCCAACAGGTTAAGTTGGTACATGCCTTTGACCAAGGCACACTTAATACATTGTGGATTTTTTTAATGGGAGAAGAGGATTTTTCCGGCTCGTGCAAGTTACAGAACCTTTGACAGCGTGGCTTGCAGTTGCTGATGTTTCACGATAGCATTTCTTGTTTAATGGCAGGCAGAGTAAGCCAGTTCTCTACTGAAAAGTAGTGTTTGATAAATACATTCACGGGCTTGTTTAGAAAGTTTGAAATTCAGCTAGCATCAGTAATTCAGCACTATGTATGCTAGCTAATCAAATGCTCTAATGTGGTAAAATCAACGTTTGACAAAACCACATATGCTTTTGCTCTTAAATGCTTAGCTGACTTGTGCTGTGCATGGTCAAAAATTTTGTTGTTCACTGAGAATTAAGACAGGTTGTGTCGCAACTTCAGTACTTGAGATGGGATATTCTGTCTTTGTCAGGCGTTTATTAATGCTTGTATTTCTGATTGAGCAAAACTGTCCCTTTTTTTGCCACTCCATCATGTACTAATTTTTTTAAATCTTTCCTTCTCCCAGAAAAGAAAAATGAGAAAATGGCTTTGAAATTTGGTTCACTTTAAATACCACTCTTTATGAAAAATGAATGTTGCCTTCCCATGCCAGAGTAATTAAGAGCATCACTGTTTGTTATTTGTTTCTCTGTTTCCATGCAGGAGATCTATGGCTATGATCTGTGTCACTGGAAGTTGGTGCTAGTTGCTATAGGAGTGATCTGTTCTGGTGGCTTTTTCCTCCTCCTCCTCTACTGGATGCCTGAGTGGCGTGTGAAAGCAACATGTAAAAGGACTACCCTTAAAGACTGTGAAGTGGTTCTGCTGAGAACAACTGTAAGTCAAAGGAGGGTGTGCTTCTCCCAGTGTGCATCTGTTTTGCATCCCTCTTGCTGCTTGCTGAAATGCACAAACCCTTCTCTGCAGAGTAGACATGATTTCGTTTTACAGCACTGCAGAATTGTGCTCCTTGGTGCTGTATATAGCTTTGCTGCCTGTGTGGGAAGACTGACAGCTGTTTGCAAAGGACATAGCAAAAAGAAAGTGTTTGCTTTTGGATTGTAAGAAATACATGAATGCTGTTGTCATCAAAAGTTACAGAACAGATACCTTGTTCATATAACCTGATAACGTGGTTATCAGGTTTTCCCTCCCTGTTCAGCAAAGATATGTTTATTGAAATAAAGTGTAACGGTGGCCCCAAGTATGGTTGATTTCAAGCTATTTTCTTCCTGCACAATTGCTGTGTGCAGTCCCTTGTGTTAAGTCCTCAGTTATTTGAAGTTGCTGGGTGGGCGCAGCTGAATGTGTAGGAATCCCATAGTTCCTCCTACCACAGAACAACTATGCTAAATTGTGAAGGGCCAAAGATGTAAAAATTCAAGTACCAAGACTCATGTTTTAAAAAAAAATAAAAATATGTGTATCTTCTAATACAAAAAATATGCTTTTAGAATTGTGGAAAGGAAATATATTCATAAGGTAGTTGATATTAACTTGGGGCTATCTTTTGTAGTTATGTATGGGCTCTGCTAATCTGTCATCTGTTGTTGACATGTTTTGCTAAATCTGTTGTAGTAAAATGCTGTTTAAATGCTGTTTGAACCTGCTTATTTTTCCCCCCTCTTTTTAAGGATGAATTCAAGATATGGTTTTGTGCAAAGGTTCGCATTATGCCTTCTTTGGGAGCCAGTCCTTTACAGAATCCCAACCCTATTGTACACAAGGTTTCAAACGGCCATGCAGTTCATTTCTGTGAATCTGATGCAGAAGAGAATAAAAATGATTTAAAGAAGTGTTTGCCTGTAAGTAAACCTGCAATGCTACACTTGGTAATTTTCAAAGTATCTCAAATAGTATCTAGAGTAAACATACATAATACAGTATGTGTGAGCTGCTGCTTTTGTCTAAAAGGCTAACTCATTCTTTGGGTGGAGCACAAATCTTTTCCTCAATAACCTTTTACTGGATATTGTGGAATGCTTGAAAGATTATTTTGAAAGAAAAGTGTTTATTTTTCAGTGGACTTTTTCTAAATTTACTTTGTATCACTGTTCAGGATAAAGGCAGGGAGAAGAGAGGTGTTAAGTGTTGCTGGGTTGATAGCTATGTCTGTTGCCCTGCAGGTTCGTTATTTCACCCATCACAGCATGAAGTATTTCTGGAATGATTCAGTTCAAAGTTTTGATGTTATACGGTAAGAATACCTTTTTCTTTTGTGTTGTGCGTCAAACTGCTTTTTTTTTTTTTTTTAAATACTATCGGATGCGTGAGAGTATGGTGAAAATTGGTTTTGTGTTCTGACCAGATGGTTTAGCTCACTGAGTCTTTGTTTGAGGCATAGCTAGAGCAGGGAGGTTTTAACTTGATGTGCCTTTGGCAGAAGGGTATTTGTTTAATCTACCTTTATTGAGCATGGTTCGTTTAGGGCGACAGGCTGCATGCCTATGCAGGCTTTTTGCCTGTTCTTGGAGTGTTATTTGAGAATCAAAGCACCTGTTGTCAGACAGTAGTTCTCCTTCTATAAACTCTTAAAAACTTTGCTTCTGACGGAATAAATCCAATTTTTTTTTTTTGCATTGCTGCTGAGCTAGGCCTAAAGGGAGTATTTAGGAAGAGGGGAATTCACCAAATACTTTGTTGGTCACCTTTCTGTAGGTCTGCTGTTACATTTTAGTACGGTTGAACTGAATTTGATCCCTCTTTTTGATTCTTTGGTAACAAAACCAGGTCTCTTGCATTGATGGAAAATGTGTTTTGGTGGGCAGTAGTAGCTGTGCTCGCTAAATGTGGTGCACTGTATTCTCTTTTATCCAGCAGCACCATTGCATTATGTTAGGGTTGAAAAAGAAAGTTCTTTTCTCTAATACTAGTTATGAGACCTTCTCAGTGCTAACAAGCTAAATGAGCACCGGTTTCTCTGGTTTTGACAGCTGCTTGTTAAAATAAGATATTCAGATCAATAATATAATCTGTTCAACTTAAATCAGTGTTCACTACATTGAACCATCATGTGGAAGAGACCAAACAGTACGTATAGAAAAAAATAATGACCGGTGACTGAAGGAAAAAAAACAATAGCCAGAGTTTCTGTAAGAAGAAACATATTTTGCAACTGTTTCTCCGTTTTCAAAAAAACATGTAGAAATGGTATGGGAAGTTATCAGCAATGGCAACAATTTAAAGAAATTATCATAATACAAGCAGTTATAAAATTGAGCAGTCCCCCTCGATGGCAGGGGGGAATGGGTGAAAATGTTTCACTTCATGTGTAAATAATTAAAAGCTTTGTACGCATATTTTTTATGTTAAGCCTGCCATGAATTACAGTGGTACAGGTAGGGGCACTTGTCACTTTGCATCACAGGGTCCTGTTTCCATGCCTGTAGTGTTGCTAATTTAAAATGTTCAGAGGGAATGCTTCCCACAGATGAGATTACAAGTGCTGTTTTGAGTTTGGTTTTTTTTATGCTAAGAACAGGTATGGGGAAAAAATCGTACAGCTCCATGTGTTTAGGAAAAATGTTGTTCCTTAGTATTAAAGCGGTGACTTGAAACTTGGCAGTTGCTGGCTCTTGGACTGTGCCTTTTGATGTTCTTATGATAACCCAGCCAATTCATAAGCCCTGGAAAAATCTCAGATATGCCTGTGAAGTTATGTGACCATTTATTCAATCACATTCTTGCCGATATGCCAAACTTTCATTTGTTAGATGTGTTAGCAACAACTGAGCCAGACCACTTGTTTAGTCAGGTACTGTAGCTGAGCTGGACGCCATTGTTTAGCAATTGGATAATAAAGAGTAGAAACAGCTGGATCTGAGGCATACCCGATACTGGCAAAGTCACTTTTGCACAAGGTCAAATAAAGAGTTTGCTATAAATTTTCTCTAAAGTGAATTGGGTATGATGATCATAAGTTTAGAAAAATAGCAGCTGAACTTATGAATGATAAATATTTTGAAAAGAAGTCTGAAAAATCTGTCCTTCATCGAGATACTTTTTCTCGATGCTCTTCAGTTAATGTAAAACCCAGGAACTGGTATTGCTTAATAACATCTTAGAGAATCAAGTTAAGATTTGTTAAGAGGCTGTATATGAGACTGGAAAGCCTCACAGTAGTATCTGTAAGGCAAGTAATACAGATATAGCTGTGATCTAAGCACAATACTGCATCATGAAGATAGAGTCACTCTGTGCAGTTAATTATGCAAGTATCCAGAGACAGAACAGTTTGATCACATAATTAAAGACTTGGAATAATACAAGGGAGGCAAATTAAGATTTCTTGGGCAACTAATTCTGTTATGAGAGCTTGAGTTTCAGATCACTGTTCTCTTTGTAATAATGTAATATTAACATCACTGTGTTAAACACAGGAAATGCAAGTGTAATTGTTCTTAAACTAAATCAGACTTGGTCACATAGCCAAAGAGGATGCAACTTTGACCTTTAATGTCTGTTTTGTTTTAGCTAGTGTCAACTGAATCTCAGAGTTGATGAGAGTTTTATGTAATAAACTGTGTGTGCGCAGGTTTTTATCAAATGCCCTGGGAATTCAGTGCTGTAACAGTACTCTAATAAGCAAGTAACATCCTGCTAGAAGCTTTGTATTGCATGGACATTACGCACATAGATATGCGTATCTACATATGAAGCACTTAGTTTCAGGGACCCTTCTTAAACTCACTGTTACATTCCTTTTATGCAGGGAAAAAAAGTTGTCATAGAGTGGCAGGAAAGGCACAGTTCTTAACAGAGAATTGAATATTTCTTCGTTGAAAAATCATGATTTAAAAATCTTTGAACTTGAAAATTTTTAGTGAAACCTTGTAAACCTGTGGCCAAATTAACATATTGACATTTTCACCTGTTCTTTTACCAGAAGTTGACAGAAGCATGGTCCTAGCCTTTGCACTAGTGAGGTGTTTAAAACTTTCCCTCTCTTCTAGCAAATGGAAACAATTGTTACTATATGTGTACCATAAAGAGGTTTTTCTTCACTGGGACGCACCAGAATCTTTGTAGTAGGTAACTTATTACATATCCAGTATAAAAAAAACTTGTGTTCAATAGGGCTGGTTTTGCCATCTTGGAAGGCCTTTTGGAAGGTAATGATATTTTCCTGTGCATCCTAAGTATGTCCAGTAGAAATCCCTGGATATTGGTCATGATATGTCTGATTTACTGAGTTTGGTAGTTGAAATGACCCCATAGTCGTAAACATAATGATGTTTCAGGTGTTCTTGCTTATCTGCAGATCTACTTAATTATAGTATTTGCTTCCACAGCATGTAGAGAAGTCCTACGGAGGTAAGTCTTCCAGTGATAAAGAAGCACTTAAAATGTTAGACCATACTTTACCTAGTCATGGATAAAATTTTGATAGTAGGGTGCTGCAGTATAGACTGGGTATAGATTTATTTGATAAATTGATTAATAAGAAAGAGGAAGAGTAAGACATGACAGCAAGAGGACTGCTTTTAACACCTCATTGGTATCTGCAGTTGTGACAAAAATAGCTAGAAAACATTAGTCAATAGACTTTGTTTTTTTTATAATACAGTGTAACTCTTAATAAAGACCCAGCCCTTTTGAGTTACTTTTAAATGTCAGATTTCTTAACTCATTGACTTTTCCCTTTACTTAGAGGTCTAGATGAATCTACATTATGTTCTTCAATTCATAATGAATACAGCACAGGACTGACAAAGGGAATGCATGATTACAGGTAATATTACAATATTTGAGGGAATAATTGTTTTAATTCCATTACCTGTGCTCAAAGTGTTAACAACAGTAGAAGACAATTGAGTGATTAGTGTTTAAAAACAGACTCTATGCTTCCTTTAAAGGCTGTTAGATGTATGAAATTCTTGTGTTTCTTACCTATACGCTGAGTAGGAAATAAATTCAGGTAATGTGTTGACTTAGTTTTTTCAAACTACACTGACTATGGGAATTGGAACTATTGCTTAAAGTAATTCAGAATATATTTGTGAAATTATATTTACTAATTAACATTTTGAAATAAAATGAATGTACAAAAAGAACAGCAAGCAGTTATGTTTTCTACCAGATCACAGGTATATGGTGAAATTTGGTGGTTGATGAAAAGAAAATCATAGTTTTTTCCACATAACTCACCCTCAAGTGGCATAAGTATTTCCATAACATACTGTCATTGTTGAAGGGTGTATATGGGTTGAGAGACAAAGAGACTGATTCCCAGCGAAAAAGTCCATCTAAAGTTCTTTATCTGGAAAGATGCTCATTTGTCTCAAGCTGCAGATGGTTGAAGGTTTGAAGGTAATGCTGAGGGAGCTTACTTTGGTACTTGTTTTCTTTCCTGTCCTTGCCTAGCAGTGATTGTGAGAGAGGGGATAGTGTGCTTGATGGCTAGTAAGGAATATTAGGTGCAGCAAACTTGGCCTAAGCTGTAACTAATTTCTTATTTTAGGAAGATAAGGCTGAAACTTCCCAGGTCTCAAGACTTTGGCTTTAATTTTAAAACTTCAGTATCACAGGTGTGTCCTATATGGACCTGCGTCTATCTCTGGTTGGTTGGGGCTAAATGCATTCCCCATTTTTAATTTTGGTTGGCAAGAAGTAACAGGGGAGAACCTATTTTTTAACATGCAATTTTAGACTAACAGTGTAAAGGGACACAGCTCAAGTGCATAGGTAGAGAAGAACTTAGTCTAGAAAAAAAACTTTAAAATGTAACTTTAATAGTACGTAGTTCAGGGATTTCTTAGTCCTCAAATGGAAACAGCAAGCTGGAAAACGTAGATATGTACTTAATTATTGGTGTTTTAATTTATTGAAACACTACCTGAACTAGAATAGTTTGGCATCTGTAGCATTCCTGGCTGGTTTTTTGAGTGGTTTTTTTTTTTTTTTTGGGGTGGTTTTGGGGTTTTTTTTGTTCAGTTTTCGTTTTTTTGCATTTGAGACCTTCTTTCAGTTTAAAATATGGAAGCATCTGCTTGCTCATCATTCAATTTTCTGTCAATTTGTGTCTTTTCCTACAATAAAAGCCTTTTCCTACAATAAAAGCCTTTTCCTTAAGAACATCCAGTAAGGGTTTCTTCATGTCAATGTAATTTAACTATTTCAGATCCCGTCAGAGGATTGTTTTTTGTCTCCTTCCCCCTCCTCTATGATTTGCCTTTCTTCATGCTAAGAATAAAATTAAGATACAGAACTATAAAAATGATGTCTTCCTGCAGGATAAAAGTTAACACTTGTTTGAGCTTAAGTTAATGCGAATCCCATACTGGCATGTTTAACATTGCGCCTATATGCATTTTACAGGGAAATTATGTTATGAAAGAACCTAAAAATTAAGTTACAGTTTAAATTGAAGTATAAAATAGTTATCCTTGTATTTGAACGTCTCACTGGGCAAATGTTCTCAGATAAACATGTTTTGAAACAATGATAAATAAAAGGGGCCACAGATAAAGTAATATTTTGTTCTTATATTAATGGAATTGCTTTGAAGTCAGTAAGGTTTCTAATAAAAATTTCAACTGTTTTTTGGTATTTTTCTTTTGTAATGCAGAAAAGCATTCTATGGAGTAAATGAAATTGCTGTGAAAGTGCCTTCCATTTTTAAGCTTCTGATTAAGGAGGTAAGATCTTTAAGAAATTATTAAAAAAGAAAGTGTATCATTAATTATTACTTTAAATGCAATGACTTTTGAACTGGTCTTCAAATAATAATGTAAACCAGAAGCTTTCCTCCAGAGCCCAGCACTGTAAAAAAGAAAAGATGACCTTTATCTTGGAGCTCTCCAAATTTAAGAGGCCTTAGCTGTAAGCTCTTCAGAGTTCACAGCCTGGTGCATAGCAAGGATGTTAGGAAAATGTGTCAGAATTCTTTCAGAGGGTATGCATCTTATTTGTTTTCTATTGTTAATTTCAAACAGAAAGTGACTAATTATGTTCACCATGATCAAACCCGGGGATTATACATGACAATATACACAACAAATCAAACATGTTCTTGCATAAACTTTTTTTCGATTGTTTGATTTAATTTCTTTTTTCTGTGTATAAGGTGGATTTGCATACTTGACTTGTTATCCATGTGGTATAATAATGTATGATAGAAACCTTTGAACAAAGAAACTCTCCAACCTGAAATAACAGAGTGCATTTATTAATAAGAAGTACATAATAAGATCCAACTTGATTTAAGAATTGCAACTTAAGGTGCATCAGATGGATGAAGCCTTGGGTGGCATAGTTTAGTGTGAGGTGTCCCTCCCCATAGGAGGGGGGTTGGAACTAGATGATCTTAAGGTCCTTTCCAACCCTAACTATTCTATGATTCTATGAGATGTACCTACTGTTTTGCTTTGAGGTGTATTTAAAAGTACATATTTACGTATTCTAGTAAGAGCTGTTCTTTTGAGGGGTTGAGGAAATAATGAAAAAGAAGGATAGTTTGGCAAAACAGGCAAACCTCTCAGTTCTTCACACATGATTTATCTCCTTCATAGAGGAGGAGAATGATTTTGACTCTGTTCTGATGGGGAATGCATGTGACCCTGTGGTGTAACTAATATTCTGTCACTCTTCTAGGTTCTCAACCCTTTTTACATTTTTCAGTTGTTCAGTGTGATATTGTGGATCACTGATGAATATCACTACTATGCATTAGCAATTGTGATCATGTCTGTAATATCCATTGTTAGCTCACTCTACACCATTAGAAAGGTAAGTTCAAAGAAAACAGATGCATCTTTTCAGCTTTTTACTGATTGGTTTATTTTGGTATGAAATTGCCTACAAATCTTGAAGAATTTTTTAGAGGTATACAGGTAGAATGTTTTTACAAGGTTTCCCTTTTTGAGCTGGAAGAATTCGGACTTGCATTTTCCCTAAAGACCTGTCTCTGCTCACTTTCCATGTTGTTGAATCAGTAGGTTGACCTCAGATAACATAAATGCTACCTCACTTAAATAAACCCCAGACATAAGTTTATACTAAGTCATATTGACAGTAGTGATTCTGTCTTGCATTGTTTTCTTCTGTTTGAAAAAGTCTAACACAATTGAGCACCAGCCAGATGCGTGGATCGTTAAATTGGTGGTGTATTCATTTCTGTAGACTTAGCTGTAGCTGGTGGTAATCAAAGTACCAATTATCCTTAAATTGCAATCTGAATTCAAACCAGAGATAAAAAAAAAAAAACTCTTACCTTAATCCATGGTCATACAGCTACTGCAGTTTTTACTTACGTATGTTAATGACCTAATGTTTATAACATTTTGCCTGGCTGTGTATGTTTGCTTCCAGAATGCTGGTAAAAGTAGGAACCTCTACAGATTGATGCACTCAAACTATTTACCCATAAGTTACCTAAACTATGTTCAAGATAATGTTTTGAGTAAAAGAATGTTGGTGAAGAATCTCATCACTTTGGTTTGTAGAAATAGAACGTGCATATAGAAGAAGGCAAGCTGTGCTTTTAAATAATAAACTGTTTTCTCTCCTTTGCAGCAATATGTTATGTTACATGACATGGTAGCAGCTCACAGCATTGTAAGGGTTTCTGTCTGCAGAGGAAACCAAGGTAAATTTCACAGGCTATTTGGAAAACTTAGTTTAAATTGTCCATTAGCAGTGAGTGTAAAGTTGGTGTGCATCTGTTCTTTCTTTGATCACCTTGAAATGCTTGATTTCTTAGCAAAATTGTATGGGGAAAAGGAAAGTTGCCAAGGGGAATTTAGATAGGATAATAATATGTTCAGGATTATCCTTGTAGATGGTATTCTTAGCAAGTATCAGGTTTGTTCTAGATTAGATGTTTGTCCTATTCTTGTTCCTCATTATCTACCACATATATTACATATCTATCATATGTAACTGTCACTGTAGTTTCTTTCTCAGCTTAAAGATGTGCATGTGTTGGGTTTCCATTACAATTTGTTACCCAGCAGGGACTGCAAATTGATTTCTGGGCTTTTGCGTATTTGGATACCACAGCAGTTGAAGATGGTTAGGTTGTAGTGTGGTACTGTTTTGTAAGACATACATTTGTATTTGACTTGTATCTTTATATGGATGTTATACTGTAGCTGATTGTTAATGCTTTTTGTACGACCTTGTTTCATTTGTTATGATGAACTATATCCAAGTGATCTACAATTTAATCTGCAGTGGAATTTAGTTTATCAGTGGCTTTTTCTGTTTTAAAAAACCTTTCATAATGCCATCAATAGAACAGAGTATAATCTCAGTTGTCAGCGCATGGATCTTAGCTGTGAGGATCTTTATGGGGTTTTGTAGGTGGTGGCTATTTTCAGGTAAACTTGTTTTTGTTTTAACACTCAGAAATAGAAGAAATCCTTTCCACCGACCTTGTGCCTGGAGATACCATGTTGATTCCATCTAATGGGACAATTATGCCCTGTGATGCAGTACTTCTCAGTGGTACTTGCATTGTAAATGAAAGTATGTTAACAGGTAAAGTAAACTTGATACAGTTTTGTTTGGCTACATGTATTAATTTATACCTGTGTGCATGCTTAAGTTGCAGTATATTCTAGCAGAAGTGGGTATGTTTATTTTGTATGAAATGTGGATGTTCTCGAATTTACATATTCTCCTAAGTACTTATGTACTTGTGTTCGGGTTATCTGCAGCAGCTACCTGGTACTGCTTGGCAACTCCAAAAATGAATGGTGGTTTCTTGTTGAAAAGCTTTGTTGATAGCTTGTCTCCCTGCTTCTTGATTTGTTGTTCTCAGTGCAGTTCTGCAATATGTTCCTTCATACTTCTTTGCCCAAACTTTTTAGCTGCTTCCATGTATACAGGTAGTGAGTGTTCTGCTGTATTTAAAACCAGGAATTATTATCTCAAGTTGTGCCTGCATATTTGTTGTTTTATCATGTTAAATTCTTTGAATATACTTAAACCTCTTGCTGCTGCTAGCAACAGGTAAATTGACTGCAGCCCAAGCTTGAGAGTACTCAGCAAAGGAGCTGAAGCTGAAGAAATTTGTTCCCTAGTTTCTCCGAGTAAAGATGGGGTGATGCCTTGCAGCAGCAGCAGGATGTTTAATCCTGTTTTCTTTCAAAAAGCTGTATTTTACACCAGTATGATTTGAAGTAAGAGCTACGGAACCTGTATTGGTGAATAACAAGTAGAGTTAAATAGGATTTGGATAAGGAATCTGGTGAGCTGAGACTAATAGGTGAGAGACTACCTAGTAACATGCTGAAAGGAAGACACTTTCTCCATAAGTCTGCTTTTCTGCTGATGAAGTGAGATTTATATTGTTCTACTGGAAGTTGTGAAGGGAGAAAATGTATATTGTTATTTGATTTTGCTTAGATATTCTTTCTCCATTTAAGGTGAAAGTGTTCCTGTCACAAAGATTAATCTACCAAATCCTTCGGAGTATCCGAAAGCAATGGGAGATGAAATATACAGCCCAGAAGTGCATAAACGGCATACTTTGTTCTGTGGAACCAATGTAATTCAAACCCGTTTTTATACTGGAGAATTGGTCAAAGCTCTAGTAGTGAGAACAGGTATTGATTGTTGAGTCTATCACTTGTTAACTTATACTTTGGAGTACTGTATTGAACGTTGCTAAGCTTGCATAAATGGGTATACCCCAAATAATTTGATAAGCGTCTACAGCAATAACAGAACTAGATAATGGCCTGGAGAGTATCAACTGGCAAGCAAGAAAGTGAATCAGTATTTAGCATCAGTTTAAAACTTACCTGAATGTGTCTTGAAGTCCTTTAGATGTCTTCTATGCAGTGTGTTGGTTGAACTACATGAGCCTCTTTGAAAAGGTTTGCCATATGATTGGATTGGGTGCGTAGTGGGGAATGGCTTATTTCACTGGAATCATTGGCAATGTCAAATGGTTTTCTTTGCCCATAGTTTTGTCAAAGCACATAACATTTGCTTAGGAACTGCATTTGATCTAGCCCTTTCTACAGAGGTGCCTCTTCATACTAATAAGTTTAAGGTTTGGTTTTAGATAATACAGATATTCTATTGCAGAAAATTGCAGAGACTGGTGTAGTTGTAAGATTCTGCTTTACAAAGATGATCTTAAGAAAACCACCACAAAATAGAGGAATGTAAGCTATAATCAAGTTACAGTAAACCAGATAGAATAAATTTGACTACATTGACTAGAATACTACTTAAAGCAAGTTTTCTAATAACTTCATCCTAATTAGCCTCTGCTTTCTCTGGTATCTTTACCTTCTTTTAGTCTGTTTTAGCAGTAAATATTCTGATTATTTTTTAAATTAAACCTATTGTCTTTCTAGAAGCTTTTATTAGTCTATTCTTTTTTCTCAGAGAAAAGTATTTCCTTTCCCTTAAACACATCTTCCTATATATAGGCCATCCAAAACAGCAACAGAAATGGACTGCAGAAGACTTAGTTTTTCTATTCTGCAGAAAGACTGAACACATGTAGTCTTACTGCCCTCACATCTAGAGTTATCTTTTTAATCTGTTCTTTGCCCATGACAGGTCAGAGTTAGCACCTATGTTGTAAACGGGATGAATTTAGCTCTGTGGACCATGTTCAGATTTTACATATGGACAAGTACACTTTTCCTGCTATGACTACATAGTGAGGAGCAAAGGGGTATAAAAGCTCTCTATTCTTGTGTCTGGTTTACAGGAACAACTTTTAGTCAAGTAGGGCATTTCCCACTCCACAGAACTGGATGGATATCACAGCACTTGTAGTGTCTTGCTCCTAAGGTGTCTGACATTAAGAACTGAAGTGATTCTTACCTAGTGATACAGAAATAAAAATCCCTTTATCTGAGGGAGAAGGATGCAAAAAATTGAAGATACTAGGTAATTTAGTCCTCAAAAAAAATTCTAGGAGATGTGAACTACATATGGTTGTATGCAAAGGCGTGTTGTCTTGATCTTTTAAATGGAGATGTTAAGATTGATCTATTGGAACTGTGCTTACAGCACTCTTCAGAGTTAAGCCTTTAACGCAAAACGTTTGGTGTTTGAGCTGAAATATATATAATATACTGATGAACTAAATGTATTTTTTTTTTTCTCCTGAAACTCAGTTCATGGGTATGTTAGTGCGTACGTCATTGTGAACTTACAAAGACTTGTCACTAAAGTACTTAAGTTTGGACACTATGAATAACTTCATTTTCTTTTTGCTAGCACTGGCTTAATTAGACAACTAATAAATACACCCTCTAGCTTTGCACTGTAAGGGACAAAATGCAGTACAACAAACTCTTCCAGGCCAACCATTTGAGGGTTTACTGCTGCTGTAGAAGAGGGGTTTGTTGGCATCAGGTGCATGTCCTTGCCATTGGAGAGAAGCGCTTAATATGGTGTGCACGTATTTTTGAAGAACCTTAACTACAGTAATGCAAAATATCTTTTACTGTATATTGAGAAACAGTCTAATGAAATTAGTAGCATAAGGGTTTCACTGGGGTTTTTAACGTATTTGAATAGCTTTGCTCTTGTTTATACTTTCAATAACTCATTTTTATTTCTAGGCTTTAGTACTGCGAAAGGGCAGCTTGTTCGTTCCATACTATATCCAAAGCCAACTGATTTTAAACTCTACAGAGATGCCTATTTGTTTCTTCTGTCTTTGGTCGTGGTGGCAGGCATTGGGTTTCTTTACACAGTTGTCAACAGCATCTTAAATGAGGTATGTTTTCATTTCTAGTCAAGAACTGCCTTATTTTAGAAAGGGGCTGATGATTGTAGATAATGAGAAACAATGAAATTTGAAGTCAACATTTCTTTGCTTTATTTTATACCCACGGAACAAGAAAGACAAGCTCATTGAGAACAAAATTCAGCATAGAAGCAGGACTTCAATATATTACAGTGAAATTTGAGTTTACCTCTATTTTTACTGACCCAATTACTACCCTTTATTATATGTAAGATTTCTATACAACTGATAATTCACTTGGAAGAAATAAGAGCATATCTAAAGCATGCTGCAGGCAAAAAAAATCCTTACCAAGAAATTGATAACTGATAACGGTAACTTTTGTCTCTCCAAAATTTTTGCATTACTCAGTTACTGTTTTAAAGTAATGTATCTGCTGGGGAAAAAGTAAAAATGTTAAGTAATGAGTGCGTTGTGGTTAATTTAGGACTGGATTATTATGGTTGCTTATGGTTGGTGAATATTGCTAGGTTTCTGGGCAATACAGAATGTGCTGTACTGGGGAAAGCAATATGTGCATTTTGCTTTTGGTACCAGTGATGTAACGCTTCAGTGAGATAGTAAATCTTTAAATAGCGAGTTCTTGTTCATCCACTCTGACCTTTGTTACAGGTTCCAACTCATACCATCATCATCGAGTCTCTTGACATTATCACTATCACGGTGCCTCCAGCGCTCCCTGCTGCCATGACTGCTGGCATTGTTTATGCACAAAGAAGGCTGAAAAAAATTGGCATCTTCTGCATCAGCCCACAAAGGATAAATATTTGTGGCCAGCTGAATCTTGTGTGCTTTGATAAGGTTAGGTGAATTTTGAAACTTTGTGTTGCCACCTGGAGGGGCATTATATAAAAGAGAATTTGTATAAACTGACAACTACAGGAAAATTCATTACTTACATATAAATCAGATAATTTTTTGTCCTGTTAGCTTCCAGGTATTCAGTGTTTATCACCTGTTAACTCACTTAATTTAGTTTGCTCTAAAAAGCTGTTACAAGAGAGAGCTACTTTGTTATCTCAAGTCTCCCCAGACCTAACTTACTATTGGCGCAGCAGAAATGTGATAGTTGGGGTTTTATTTAGGTACACATCTTCTGGGAAATGGAAGTGTGAGGTCAGACTTACTTCTTAGTTTTATTTATTTCAGTGAAAAGCCAAACCAGCATATTTTGTTATTACTCTTTAACAGAAACACAAGTGAAAGTCAGTAATGCCACTAATCAGAATCCTTTGTTTGTCACTATGCCTTAGATAAAATTTATTTTCCTCTTTAGATTTTTAGCTAAAGTCTTAAGTACCCAGACTAGATTTATATTTCCGTTGTAAAGGTTTTCCAGTTACTGTTTCAGCTATGTAAGAAAGTAGTCCTAAGGGCTTAGTGCCCATTTTCTGTTGCCCCCAAGCCCTGAATATAGAGATGTTGAGCTATTATCTTTGAAATTTAAGGGTCTATTTCTTTTTTCATGTCTCCAAGGAGGGACATGGCTTTGAATGGTTTTTTTTTGGGGGGGGGTAAGTTATTTAACAGAGTTGGAACTTAAGTTACTATCCAAAAGAAAGGGAGATACTGTATTTCCTGTCCTGAAGTCCTGCTTATATTTTTATATATATATATATTATTTTTTTTTAAGTGAAAGTAAAATAAAATACACTGTGGAGGTGTAATTTGGTTAATTAATTGCTAATTTTTGCTTTACCTGAGGAAAATTTGTTTCTGAAGGCTTTTTCTTCTTGCCATGTCCTTTGGTTTTATTTTGCAGACTGGAACACTTACTGAGGATGGCTTGGATCTTTGGGGAATTCAACGGGTGGAAAACGCTCGGTAAGGATAAGCTCACAGCTGATAGCGTATGTGATACCTAGTTGTGCTTTAGCAACTGCAGCAAAATAGAATAGAAAATTCCAAGTTATCTCATACATGTTTGCATTTCGGTAATGAGCTGTAAGAATGCAACTGGAAATATGGTTTGTGTGTAACGAAAGTTATAGGTCTCTTATGAGGCTGAAGTGAAATTTAATTTGTTAAATCTGAGACCTCATTAGGTTCATACTGCAGAAATTATGCAATTAAAGTATAGCATGTTTTCTTAATCCTGTCCTCCCAGGTGATGACTTTTTGGGCTGCTAAAATGAATTAGCTTAATTAATTTAGTTAAGTACAAAGTGTTAAGATGTCTCCCTACACAGTGAATTAATGCAGTTTTTTAAGGAGACGAAAGTAGTGACTGTTTTGGGAGATTCCAGCCCAGAATCTTAGTCTATTTTCTGTGATGTGTGAAAATACAAGTGAAGAGACCTGTGCAGTCAATTTTCTTCTGTTAATATAAACAAACCTTTTGAATTGGCTCATAATAAATAATTATAGTGCTAAGTATATTATTACTTCATTGTTTTAGTTTCCTTTTGCCGGAAGAGAGGGCTTGCAGTGAGAGCTTGCTGAAGTCGGAGTTTGTTGCTTGCATGGCAACTTGTCATTCCCTTACAAAAATTGAAGGTGTGCTTTCTGGGGATCCGCTTGATTTGAAGATGTTTGAAGCAATAGGATGGGTAAGTGTCTGCTTGTTTTAGGAGACTCAGCATTTTCAAGATTAGTAATCTGAAATTTTCGATCCTGCTACATATAAGATAAACCATTATGTGCTGTTTTAACCTGTAACTGTAAAATGGTGGACTTTTGACACTGCTTGTATCAAAGGAAGTCTTAATACGAAAATGTTCCTAAGATGTGTTTTTCATTCATGGAACTGAAAGAATCTGAAAAGCTAATTTACTTCTTTCTGATGTTGTTTGTGGCAAAGTATCAATACATACGATAAACATATGAAATAGCTAAGTGAATCCTTATGTCAACTGCTAAATTAAGACACTTAATTCTCACAGGAAATATTGATTAGAAAGGTCATGGCACCCTGGACATACTTCCAAGCCTGTTGGGGTTTTTTGGGTGTTGGTTTTTTGTTTGTTGGTTTGGTTTGGTTTTGGTGGTTTGGTTTTGGTGTTGTTTTTTTATTCTGAAAATAACATTATGAGAAAGTCAAAGTTAATACATGCATAAAGTAGTTGTTTATTTGTAATACAGATTTTGGAAGAAGCAACTGAAGAGGAAACAGCCCTTCATAATCGAATCATGCCGACAGTGGTTCGACCTTCAAAACAACTTTTCCCAGAATCCAAGCAAGCAACAGATCAAGAAATGGTAAGAAAAATCAAAGCAATTACTTGAGTTGAAGTAATCCTTCATGTTATACAAATATGCCACTTCCAGTGTGAGCAGGCTGTCAGCATCATTACCCTTGTGAACTAGCTGTTAAGTGCTGTAATGCTTTTTGAGCTTACACCTTTTAATATTGGTATCATTACACATTTTAATATTAGTATCATTACCAAATCCTTTTTGTGCTACTGAAGTGCTTAGGTGTGCTCACTTTGCACAGTATAGTTAAAACAATCATTTGTTAATGTCACTTTATGGTGCAGAATTCTTGCCACCATTGTGTACGTGCACAGCAGTAATTACTGTGCAGTAGTTGTCATGAACATTCTTGAAACTTATTACGTGATTTTTTGGGGGGCATACTTCATCATCATGGCCTTATTCTAAAATCCGTAATACTTTAATCATTTACATAGGCTAAATGGACACAGGTTGAACTATGAAAAGTCTTGCAAATACTAATCAAGGAAGCAAGCTCTAAAGTTCTGTCTCACTTAAAGGATACTAAACAGATTTAAGAGATTCATATTCCGCTGTAACAAATCCATTGCAAGTACAATGTGGCTTTATGCTGAGAGTGCTGTGTAGGTTCATTTACTTACTTCTGTTGAAATAGTTTGTAGCTGAAAAAATACTTAATATTTACAGTAAATGTGGTTTGTTTTTGTTTTTTAGGAATTGTTTGAGCTTTCGGTAAGTATGCTTTTCAGTTAAGCATGCACCTCTTTTCTTAGAATGTATGTGGATGTGACCCTTTTCTTCCTACCTGTATGACACAGGCCAGTTACGAAATTGGAATTGTGCGCCAGTTTCCATTTTCTTCAGTTTTGCAACGTATGTGTGTAATAGCGAGAGTTCTAGGGGAGAAGAGAATGGACGCTTACATGAAAGGTGCCCCTGAAGTGATTGCAAGCTTGTGTAAACAGGAAACAGGTAAAAGAACAAACTGTAGCTTCATTTCTTGTGTAGCTCAGCTGCAGTATGGATAATTTTAATAACTCTAAATCTGACCTTTTTAAAGTTCCTGTTGACTTTGAGTGTGTCCTGGAAGAATACACTAAGCAGGGCTTCCGAGTTATTGCTCTTGCTCACAGAAAATTGGAGTCTAAGCTTACATGGCACAAAGTCCAGACTATTAATAGGTAAGAGTGACTTCACTTTCATAATAAGCAGTTAAAGTCTTTAAAAGCTGCATGCTTTGGATTAATTTTGTAATGTTAATTTTTATTTAAATCAATTGCTACTGTTCTTTCTTGACAAGTATAGTTCTGTGCATTTTTTATTTGTACTCTGTACAATACATAGAAATTTAAGATAAGGAAGTTTCTCTGCAATAGTGAGGAACATCTTTAAGCTTGAAATGAACTGTAATATTTTATAGTGTTTGATTTATATTAATGTGGCAGAAAACCTCATCTGATTTCTTTGTTACTTGATAATACTTACATCATCTGTGTCTATTAAAGATAATGAAATGACATGTAATAGAAACTCTCCTCTGTGTGTTTGTAGTTTCTTCATCTGCTATGAGCAACATGTCCTTTTTCTTATTGCAGAGCTTGTCAGGAAGGTTTAGAAGTTAGAAAGGTTTCTTCCTTCAAAGAGTAGTATTTCCTCTTAATTATTTTTCAGCTGGTCCTAGTTTTGTGGGTAGTGCTATCTATCTTTTCCATAGTGTTCAGAAAGTGTAGCATTGCCATGAAAATACGAGCTTTGTGTTCTTTTGTATCAGCTCTGTGTGCAAGGTGACTGCAAAGCAGTACAAAGCAGACAAATGGATTTTCCAGTTTCAGGTGTGAAAATCTACTGTACCAGCAAAATACCCAAGGCCTGTAAATACTGACTTTCATGTAAACCAAAGTTAATTAGTTGCTTCACTTGGTTAGCTAATGTCTATTAATCTTACTAGCCTTGGTAACATGATTTGATGGCTTGTATATTAAGGATCAGCTAATTTGGAAATTAGAGATGTGATTCTAAAAAAATCTTAAAATTTGGCTGCGAATGCAGTTAGCCTTGGAGCATTTTTTTTCTAGGGATATTTCTTTTGAGAATGTAATCTCTTTCAGAAAGATAATCTTGTGGAAGAAACTAAAAATGGTACTTGAGGAAAACATTTTCTCATACTGGTTTTCAACTAAAACAAGGGAAGTAAGTATAAATGATTGTGAAAGGTGATAGCTCTCAGGTTACCTTTTTATAAAGCAAATTCTTCACTTTTCATGATTCAAAATAAACAGAAAATTGGGCTCTTTAAGCTACATGTAATAATCGTATTTCTTGCAATATTCTCTTCCTTGCCTTCTTTTCTACAGAGATGCTATTGAAAGCAACATGGATTTTATGGGGTTAATTATAATGCAAAACAAGTTAAAGCAAGAAACCCCTGCTGTACTTGAAGATTTGCATAAAGCCAACATTCGCACTGTCATGGTTACAGGTTAGCACATAAACACTCATACTCAAAAATCCATCTTATTTTAATTATAGTGTATGAAGTCAGATTGTAGTGTCAGTAGGCTGGGATTGCACTGTGTTTATAGCAAGAGGAAAGTTTAGAAACTACTACGAGAATATTTGGACACCAGTCTGCTGTTTCTTTTTGAATGAAAGTTGCTTTGGTATGTCAGAGATCGGAAGCCAGTGTAAGGATGAGTCCTCTCCCTAGCTCCATGCACAAGTTACTTACACTGAATTGAAGGATGCAAAACCTTAGAGGTCTTCCAAATCACAGACTAGGTGAAAGTCCTGGTCTGATTTTATGACTGACCCTCCTTTGAGCAAGGGGTTGGACTAGATGACCTCCTGAGGGTCCCTACCATTTTGAATTGTATTATGATAAGTCACTTTGTGGTGTTGTTTTTGTTTTGGTTTTTTATAAGAAAGACTTATGTCCCCGTTAAGCAGGCTAGGTATCTGTACTCAGTATTTCCATGCAATAGGTGTGTTTGCTTTTTAAATCACAGGTATTGCAGCTTTGGAATAATGTTGTGATAGGCTGGCAATACAACTCAGTGTTTGCATGTTCTGTGACCGTGTTTAAAAAGTGATATTTTAAATGGCTGCATGCTTTCTGCCAGATTTTCAGTATATCCTAAGGTTTGGCCAATGAGAAATCTTTATGGCTAAAAGAAGCATTTTAGTGATGTTAGCGCAGAGGAAGGGTTTAACAGACTAGGTTTTTGAATTTTGTCTGAAGGCTTGGTTTGCCTTGAGGGTGTCACTGGTATGTTAGGCAGTCCTTTTCCTAGTTTAAAACTGGCTTTGTTAGCTTTTCTCTTAATGTGGAATATTAGTGAAACTGACTGAAACTTTTTTAAATGCAATTGTTTAACAGGGGATAACATGCTAACTGCTATCTCTGTGGCCAGAGACTGTGGAATGATTCTACCTCAGGATAAGGTTATTATTGCTGAAGCACTACCTCCAAAGGATGGGCAGGCTGCCAGGATCAACTGGCATTATGCAGATACCCTCGCAAAATGCACTAGTTCATCACCAGCCATAAACTCAGAGGTAACATGAGCATTATGATGCCCTTACGGTGTAATCAGTTAGTTTTATGGTTGAGTTTCTTTTTATCTTATTCCATCAAATAGCAAATCTCCTGTTAAGTGTCAAATAAAAATTGATGTACTAGTTAACTTTCAGATTTTGAAATACCACAGAATAATAAAACAGCTGGGGGAGCTAGTTTTTCAATGGTGATACGACAGTTGATATTTTAGTTCTGCAGGAGACAGGATTTTTTCCACATTTCAGTCTGTTGAGACTGCTCTAGCTGTTTGTAGCTGAAATATTAAACTGTGTTTGCTTGTTACTAAATAAGTGTTTTCATTGTATGAGGTTTCCTTTCAAGTAACATTCTTAGAAACCTCCCCTCTAGTTTGGGATCTTAAGGAATACCCCTCTTGAATATTAGCTTGAAATTACAAGTATCTGTGTAAATACACTAGAGTACAGTACTAGAGTATTGAACTACTTTTGCTAGGATATTCCAGTTAAATTGGTCCATGAAAGTCTTGAGGATCTCCAGATGACCAAGTACCATTTTGCAATGAATGGGAAGTCATTTGCTGTGATTTTGGAGCATTTTCAGGACCTGGTACCCAAGGTGAGCATTTCATTTGAGTATGAACACTTCTGTTGTTCAACAGACTTTGCCCTGTGAGCATTAAGAAATCTTCTGTCTTCCAGCTTGTGTTACATGGCACTGTGTTTGCTCGCATGGCACCAGATCAGAAAACTCAGCTGGTTGAAGCTTTACAAAATGTAGAGTAAGTATTTGCTCAAGCACAGCAAGTGGGAGGGTTGACAGACTGTTTGGTGTGACAGGAGGAAAAAATTATGTATGCTTCTAACTGTTCCTCCAAATGAAAAAAGCTGGGCTAATTATATATATTGTGTGTATATATAGATAATTACATATGTGATATATGTGATTGCATTTAATATATATATTAGTTGGGCTAATATAACTTCCTTGAGTTGGTAAATAAGCCTGTTAGCTGAGCAGGAATGAGAGTAGTACCATCTGCTGGCTGGTTGTGAAAGTTTCAGGCTTTTCATGAAGTTACAAATGATAAATAGCTAAACTGACTAACATAGTTTATAAATCTGGTTGCTTGGATTAATAAAAAAATCCATCAAATGTTTTCTCTGTATTACAGAAGTATTAATGGGATGACTTCCCATTCATATACGATCAGTATACTACTCTCTGTTAGTTTCAGACCTTGCAGCTATACAAAATACTACAAAAGTCTCTTTTCCTAGAGCAAAGATGCTTTAGACCATGTTGGAATGATAGAGGGCTGTGATAATCATTACTGGTTTGATTGACCTCTCTACATCATATTACTTTTCTGTCTACTTCCTTATATGTATAATGGCAATAGTAATTGCTTTCAGCATTAATGATCACTCATAATTGTGCAAACCCTGGATAAGTTAACATTAAAGTATTTAATGAAATATGCTAAATAGACAACAATTAGGGAATGGTCCAGAATGCTGACATCTGTTTGGTTTTTGTAGTTACTACGTGGGCATGTGTGGAGATGGAGCAAATGACTGTGGGGTAAGTATGTTTTTATTTCCTATACAGTACAGTTCAGTTAAATTTTACAGCTGAAAGCAAGTTTTAAAATGTTCTCCAATGTTAACTGGCAGGCGCTAAAGAGGGCACATGGTGGTATATCTTTGTCTGAACTTGAGGCTTCTGTGGCATCACCATTCACTTCCAGAACACCTAGTATTTCCTGCGTGCCAAAGCTGATCAGGTAACGTGACTTACTGTGAACTTAAATGCGTCTGTGCAACTCTTTTTGCATACCGTATATTAATATAAGTTTGATGCTGTAGAAGGCCAGTTTGAATTAAAGACATACATTTTTAGTAGTTCTGTTTTTTTACTGAAGTTACCCTGAGCAAATGCTTACCGTAGCATGATTTAGTATTTTGTTATAAACCCCTTTTGTCCAGGTAAAGTTAATTTTTCAAAGCATGAATGAGTTTCTACATGTTAGTATTTAATTTGTTGTCTTAGTGACTACTGTGCTGGTTTCCATAAAGGTTGTGTTTAAAATTTTATCCTAGAATTGGGAGTTAGGTAATAATTTTGGATAAACGTCAACCAGAGAAGAATCTACTTAAGTCTGTGTGGAACTAATGAAGTAATGTGTAATCAGAAAGTTTTCTGGTCAGCAGTTCTGTGGTTGACTGCATGTTCATTCAATCCATGCAGTAAACTAGTGCTTCATAGATATTTTGGCAAGCAGGCCTTCATTTTAAAACCTCTGTTGGAAAACCATATACAGCCCAAAGAATGCCAGAGTAAGGTGGTGGCTGGGTTCAGAAGGCATGCTCACAACTTTGATATATTTAAAAGTGTACCATTGTGACCCCTTTTTCTCTGTATATCTTCAGCCTAATGTCCCTCAAAAGGGTTTGCTGGTGTGTTCAAGTGCAGTTCAAGTTTTGCTAAGTAGAATATAACTGCTTGCACAGAAAACTTACTAGTTATATGATTGCATTTGTTTTGACAGGGAAGGCCGTGCTGCTTTAATAACTTCCTTCTGTGTATTTAAGTTCATGGCATTATACAGCATTATCCAGTACATCAGTGTTACTCTGCTATATTCTGTAAGTATTCTGTAAATGCTTAAGCAGTGTCAACCTAATCCAGAGATTTAAAAATTGATAGATAATTCATATAAATGTTGCAAGCCTCTTTTTGAGTACATAACACCAGCATTCTTAAAAACTGTATTTGGACTAAAGGTATTGTTCGTATTTTTGTCTTGTTTAATGTTAACTGTATGAAAAACATGGTAGTGTCAGTTTTTAAAAGGCAGTAGTTAATGCCTGTGTATAGAAAGTTGCTCCAGCGGGAAGACCAAATAAGCATATAAATTGAACAAAAGTAAGATTTTTCAATTATTTAAAAACCCTCAGCATTTTTAAATAGCCTAACTATTTAAAGGGCAATGCATTCCTTTTATGTAAGGATTGAAAGAGAGCAGCTTGCAAGTACTGGGGAGGGGAGCAAGGTAGAGTGTTTCCTGTTAACATGATTGGATTCACAGTATGGCACTTAGTAGAAATCCTGGATTTTAATTTGCATTCTGAGTACGTTAAGCATGTAAAGCATTAAAGGACCTTTGAAGGGGAAATTTTGACAACTGTATGACTACATCCTAAGCTTATGGTGTTTTGAGAATTGTGGGCCTAAGCTATTACTTCATTGGTATTTAAGGTTCAGTAATGCAAGCTTGATTACAAATTTCAATTACAAATAGCTTGTGCATTTTAAAACTGAAATTGTCTCATGCCTTGATACTTCAGCAATTGATCTGTGAATTGTGGAGTACTTCAGACTCCTACAGAAAAAAGAAACCAGTTTGACAAGGCATTGTCTTGTCAGTAGGGGGAAATCTAAAGAATTATTGCTGTAGGAGTGTCACTGTAAGATATTTCCGGGTGTGAAGAAATTACCAATGTTTCAGTTGTGATTTCTGTCTAGATCCTGAGCAATCTGGGAGATTTCCAGTTTCTCTTCATTGATTTGGCAATCATTTTGGTGGTTGTCTTCACAAGTAAGTATTGTGCTGTACTTCTGGCTTCTATAAAGCAGTTTTTGCTTGGTCAATTTTTTATTTTTTTATTTTTATTACATATTGTTTGAAGTAAGCACCATGATGTACAATTTAGATGTTACAACTACTACAGTATATGCATTAAAAACCCAAACCACTGTGTACCAAGTTAGATTCATCTGAAGTTTGTGAAATGTCCTCACACAAAAAGCAGGTTGTGTGCATGATCTTTGAAAAGTAATTGTTCACAGTACGGGAAGTCATAAATCTCTACTGACATGAGGAAACTGGTTTTGGAATCAAAACAGAAGTTGTTACAATATAATCTTTCTCAAATGTTTTGATTTTCTTGCATTCTGCATACAAAATGTTGTACTCCAAGCTGTTACATAGTGAAGTATTTTGATTCCACATAGGAACCTAGCGCTCAGTTTACTGGCTAATGGTAGAATACCGTTTTTCAGTTTAATAGAAAATGCTTCTTTGAATGGCAAACCAAAACTGATGAGCTGTAAGTCCTTGTGCAAGACAAAGGGAATTTGGCCAGACACTACTAATTCCTTAGGTCTCATGGCTTCTTTTATTGTCCCCTGCTGTCCTGTGTTGCTGGGGTTAACCAGCCTGTAGAAGGCACTGTGACATTATTCTAGAGCAGTATAATCTTTTCAAGGTGGTTTCACACTTGCAGTTCTGGACTGATTTTTAAAGTGATGTCATGAGCAAGCCATTCTAATTCCACAGAATGTGAACAGAGTGACCTTTGAAAACCGTAATGATGGAATATGTAATTTGTTTTTTGTTCTCTTTGCAGTGAGTCTAAACCCTGCTTGGAAGGAGCTTGTTGCTCGAAGGCCTCCATCAGGTCTTATCTCAGGTCCACTTCTGTGTTCTGTTTTGTCTCAGATCATCATCTGCTTTGCTTTCCAAGTCTTTGGTTTTTTTTGGGTCAAACAGCAGTCCTGGTATAAGCCTTGGAGTGCAGAATTTGAGTAAGTATTTCAGTGGTTCCATGCAGAATACAGTAATGATTGAAAAGCTATAAGTAATAATTGCTCTCTTTATTGACCCTCTTTGGGTACTTGAGATGTAAAGCTTCTGTATGGCAGGTAGTCTGCTAAAACTTTTGTGAAAAGCATACCAATACATAGGAGTTTGAAGGGGAAAATTTTGACAACTGTATGACTACATCCTAAGCTTACGGTGTTTTGAGAATTGTGGGCCTAAGCTATTACTTCATTGGTATTTAAGATTCAGTAATACAAGCTTGATTACAGATTTCAATTACAAATAGCTTGCGAATTTTAAAACTGAAATTGTCTCATGCCTTGATACTTCAGCAATTGATCTGTGAATTATGGAGTACTTCAGACTCCTACAGAAAAAAGAAACCAGTTTGACAAGGCATTGTGTTGTCAGTAGGCTGCACAGGATTTGGAGAAGGCTGAGGTTCTGAATGACTTCTTTGCCTTGGTCTTCACTGGCAAAGGCTCTGACCAAACCACCCAAACCACCTTGGAAGGCAGACACAGGGACTGTGAGAATGAAGACCTTGCGCCCACTGTAGGAGAGGAACTGGTTCGAGACCATCTTAAAAATCTGAATGTGCACAAGTTTGTGGGTCCTGAGGAGATCCATCTGTGGGTCCTGAAGGAGCTCGTGAATGAAGTTGTGAAGCCACTGGCCATCATATTTGAGAAATCATGGCAGTCAGGTGAAGTTCCCGACGACTGGAAAAAGGGAAATATAACCCCCCATTTTCAAGAAGGGGAAAATAGATGACCCGGGGAATTACAGTCAGTCTCACCTCTGTGCCTGGCAAAATCTTGGAGCAGATTCTCCTGAATGGCATGCTAAGGCACATGAAAATCAACAAGGTGCTCGGTGACAGCCATCATGGCTTCACTAAAGGGGAATCCTGCCTGACCAATTTGGTGGCCTTCTATGATGGGGCTACAGAACTGATGGACAGGGGTAGAGCAGTTGATGTCATCTGCCTGGACTTGTGCAGAGTGTTCGACACTGTCCCACACGACATCCTTGTCTCTAAATTGGAGAGACATCAATTTGATGGATGGACCACTCGGTGGATAAAGAACTGGCTGGATGGCCGCACACAAAGTGTTGTGGTCAATGGCTCAGTGTCCAGCTGGAGACCAGTAACGAGTGGTGTCCCTCAGGGATCGGTGTTGGGACCGGTCTTGTTCAACATCTTCGTCGCTGACACGGACAGTGGGATTGAGTGCGCCCCCAGCAAGTTTGCCGATGACACCAAGCTGTGTGGTTCAGTTGATATGCTGGAGGGAAGGAATGCCATCCAGAGGGACCTTGACACGCTTGTGAGGTGGGCTGATGCCAACCTTATGAAGTTTAACCATGCCAAGTGCAAGGTCCTACACCTGGGTCAGAGCAATTCCAGGTACAGCTGCAGGTTGTGCAGAGAAGAGATTCAGAGCAGCCCTGTGGAGAAGGACTTGGGGGTGTTGGTTGATGAGAAAGTGAGCATGAGCTGGCCGTGTGCGCTCACAGCCCAGAAAGCCAGCCGTATCCTGGGCTGCATCAAAAGGAGCGTGACCAGCAGGTTGAAGGAGGTGATTCTGTCCCTCTAGTCTGCTCTTGTGAGACCTCACCTGGGGTATTGTGTGCAGTTCTGGTGTCCTCAACATAAAAAGGACCTGGAACTGTTGGAACAAGTCCAGAGAAGGGCCACGATGATGATCAGGGGACTGGAACTGGAGCACCTCCCATATGAAGACAGGCTGAGGAAGTTGGGGCTATTGAGCCTGGAGAAGAGAAGGCTGCGTGGAGACCTCATAGCAGCCTTCCAGTATCTGAAGAGGGCCTGTAGGGATGCTGGAGAGGGACTCTTCATTAGGGACTGTAGTGACAGGACATGGGGTAATGGGTTAAAACTTAAACAGGGAAAGTTTAGATTGGATATAAGAAGGAAATTCTTTCCTGTGATGGTAGTGAGGCACTGGAATGGGTTGCCCAGAGAAGTTGTGAATGCTCCATCCCTGGCAGTGTTCAAGACCAGGTTGGACGAGGCCTTGGGTGATATGATTTAGCGTAAGGCGTCCCTGCCCATGGCAGAGGGGTTGGAACTAGATGATCTTAAGGTCCTTTCCAACCCTAACTATTCTATGATTCTATGAGTTACCCAGAAGCTGAAATGCAAAACTGGATCAGAGCCAGACTGCAGGGTCTGAAGACTCCTCAACCTTGGGACAGTTGAGATTAAAATTGTAAATTAATGGTTCAGACCTATTTTTAACCCTTCTGTTGTGAATGCTCCATTCCTGGCAGTGTTCAAGGCCAGGTTGAATAGTCTTGAGTGACATAGTTTAGTGTGAGGTGTCCCTGCCCATGGCAGGGGGGTTGGAACTAGATGATCTTAAGGTCCTTTCCAGCCCTAACTATGATTCTATGATTTTCCTGTTAGAATTACAGTAAATCAAACTGATATTTCAGAAAACAAAGGCATGTTTCAACCTTTTTTTTAGATTGCAATATTTTCTTGTCTTCAAAGTGTATCTACAGTGATAGTTTCTAAAGAGTTCATGTAGTAAACTTAAAACCTGTAAGCAGAAGAAAACTCTTAAGTTCAGAATTCACAAGAATTGCTACCTCCCTGCCATAGTTTTGAGTTATTTCTTACTGTAATAGATTTTCAAGGACAAGCTTTTTTACTACTGTAGCAGTTTGTTCTGTCATTGCCTGGTTTGCATCTTCTCCATAACACAGTGATAATTATTGGTTTTTTTTATCTTGTAGTGAATGTAATGTATTGGATGCCACAAACACCAGCTCTGCACACCATGGGAATGAGACTCTTCACGATGAACATTACATTAAAAATTACGAAAACACAACTTTGTTTTTTATATCCAGCTTTCAGTACCTCATAGTGGCAATTGTCTTTTCTAAAGGAAAGCCCTTTAGACAACCATGCTACAAAAATTGTAAGTCCTTTCTTATTGTATACACTTCCAAGTGAAACTCCAAGTAACTTGTTTATCCATGGCTTGCTTACAATTGTCTTGTGCCACTTGAGCCATAATAGTGTTGCTGGAGGAACACACAAATTATCCTCTGATAATCAGATAAAAATAGGGAAGTATTAAAATGTATGAAGAAATTAATGGTAATAGTTGCTTCGTTTGTAGAAGTATATGTGTATATATGTTTCAGCATCACAAGTGAGCCAGTGAGAAACTGAGTCTGGCCTTCTGTCTCTTTGTGGCTATCAGCACAACTTGTATTGCCAAAATCTACCAGGAAAGGGTTTAGAGGGAGAAAAGAGGTTCTTTCCAGGGAGTAATGAACCCATGATGCACGGGAAAACTGTCCAAAACTCTGTGCGATGATCTGATAAAAATATTTCTTCTTGTTTTACAGTTCTGTTTGTTACATCTGTGATAGTTCTTTATGTCTTCATATTTTTCATCATGTTGCATCCTGTTGAATCTATTGACGCATTTCTTGAGGTAAGATTCACCAGTTACAGCCTGCATCTTTACTTCCTAGGATAGCTGATTGGCTGCCTTTTGGGAAAGCTTGAACCATTTCAGAGCTTTAACTTAGCATCTCTGGGAGGGGGAAGTGAGAATTTAATGACTCTGAGCCTGCTTGGAATATGTGTTTGTTTCATATGTGTGTTGCTAACCTCTGGCAACTTTTTCACACAGCTCGTGTGTGTGCCATATGAGTGGCGCCTAAGAATTCTCGTCATTGTTATTCTCAATGCAGTTGTATCCGTGCTGGTGGAGGTAAGAAATCAAATGGAAAAAATGTTTAAGTGAGCTTTTTGCTAGGGTAGGTGTTTGTCTTTCGTTTAGAAGGTCTCTCTTCACAGTGTAAGTTGCCACTGTGTTCTTTTTAAGTTTGTATTCCTAAAATGTCCTTTTAGGCTAAACTTAGGGTGTCAGAGTTTTCTATGTTAAAAACATAATTTTAAAACCTTTTTAATTTAAAAAGGGGGGCGGGGGGAGGGTAGAGAAGTGGAAGGGCTTCTAAATTATTTTAACTCTTTTATGGGACAGTACTCTCCATATTGATTTCCTAAGTGAATTCAGTTCAGAAGAAATTAACATAGTAGAGAACTATATAAAATCATTAGGAGAGCACATCTTTATTGAGTTGATTCATGTGCATAGCTTATTGTTCAGAATAATGCAGGGCTATATAACTTGCTCATTTAATCTGATGCAAGTCCAGAAGTAGGGATGTTCATTCAGATCTGCTTTTTCCAGCCCTGAGCTTGACCAAGGTCAGTCACTCTGGATATTGACCTCTTCTGCTGTAATTCCAGAGTTAATGGGGGCAGAAACATGCCCTACCTTTCCTTCAGTTACACCTATGTTGTTTTCAAGAGTTGAAGTTTGACAGATACATCTTCCAGGAAGAGTCTGGATTCAAAGTCAGTCATTTATTCCTGTGGTTAGTTCTTGTTAAATTGATGCCTTATTTCCAGCTTGAATACATGTGGGTTTTGGTTGCAGCCATTAGTCACTTTTTTTCCTGCAAGATGAAAAAACCTTTCAACATTATCTAGCACTTGCACGCTGCAATTATCTGTTTTTACTGCACAATGTTTTTGTCAGCTTCTAGTCAGTATTTCCATTACTATGTGAGGGATTGCTATCAAGGTAACCAGCATAATGTTTGCTTGGATCATGCCAGTTTGGCCTTTGAAGATTGCTATAGTATTACTGTTCTTTCCAGTTGACTAGTTTTTTCCTGTTACTCATGACGTAGTAAAAATAAGTCAACCAAAGAGTTTTTTTGCATAATTTGATTGAAAAGGCTTTGTGTTCAAAATGTGTTCCAAATAGAATCTGCAATATATGCTATTATGTCACTGCCTATTGGACCATGTATTCAAGTGGTTCACCTGATAGGTGGTAACTTGTCTTTTCCAAAATATGGCAGTAGCTACTAATTATTTTGGCCTTTGCCTTGTGGTTAACAAGTTTATCCTCTCCTAAAGATCCTGTCTTTCTTACATTGTCCTATATTTACTCTTAATCTTGCTTGTGGTGTTTTCATTTATGCCTTTTAATTCTTCCATGGTTTTGTACTGTGAAACTCTTAATAGTTTGGGGGGTTTTGCCTCCTTTTTTATTTGTTAAGTTAAATTTTATGTATATTGTTGTCTTTACTACTGAAACAAAACAGGCATTCTGAAGTTGCAGAATCGTGGCCTTTTTTTGTCTTCTGATTAATTTAAACATTTTATTACCATCTCTGGGTTATCAGCTTTTTTGAAATACTAAGATTATTCCTTGGAATTGAGCTTTGTGTTGATACATGAAGTCTAAATAGGTGCAGGTTACAGTTTTCAGTCCTGTGGTAAACGTCACTTGGAGAAAGAAACTTACCTTCTGCTGAAGAATTACTTTGTTCTTGCAGATGATCTTTCTAACTTTTATACAAGCTGGTGCTATTTCTCTTGTGGAAGTGTAAGGGCTCCAGTAGACAGTCTGTACAGTGTCAGTCCATGTATCGGCATGTGCCTCTTGTAGACAAATGGTTCTCCTCTGGCTTAAAAGTTCATAATGTTCCACTCCTGCGCCTTGTTGGTTGCCACACCAATCTGTAAAGTTGTGAAATTCTACTAAACATAACCTAAGCAGTATGATTACTGTACAATGTTTGCTCTCACCCAGTATTTCAAGCCCCACCCCACTCTTTTTCCTGGGCTGGATTGATTTATCATCTTTTGACACTTTAATCACTTAACTGTCATTGCCAAAACTGGTAGGATGATTTGTTGCATTCCTTTCAGACTGACTTACCTATTTATCTTGTTGCGCGTACTTTAGCAGTGGAATAGAAGTACCTATACAATTCATTAATTCTTTGGGATGTTCTGCATTGACTTGCAACCTATTTCTTCCTCTTCCACTATTAGTTGAATGCTTTGTTAGGACAGATAAGTTGTCTTACAGCAAGTGACCAACAGAAGCATTGTCTTGTGATCCTCAAATCCCAGACTTTGTTTTATGATACACACTTCACCTTCCATAACTTCAGCCTGCTTTTGTCCCACCCTTTGAACTGTGTCCAACTCCAGCAATGCTATTCTAGGCTCCCTGAAGCTTTTTCATGTAGTGCCAGCTCATTTCCAGTCCAGCTTATTGCCTTTCTGTCCTTGTGTGTCTGGCTGGATTTTCTGCTCACTACGCTTCAGAGTTTCTGGGTGTGAGTTACTGAGGAACAGTTACGGTTCATATTCTGAGTATGTAGGAAAAGCTGCTGGTGGCATCTCCTTACTTCTTTTAACGAGGTAATATGTATGTATATCACCTAAAGTTTGTTCTGCTGAGACTAATCTCTCGGTAATTGCATCTTTAAGAGTCTTATGATGATGGGATAAATAAGGGATTTGGTTTATCATCTTTTGTCACGTTTGCCAATTTGAACGTTTTGTGTCACGCTGTGATCCTATGTAGTTTCTTCATGGCTTCTACAACAGGAATGGTTTCTGACTGGCTGCCCCAGGCATGTTTTCTGAAATGCTCTGTAAGTCTTTTGCTTCCATGTGGGTCGCAGACTAGGTTCACAAAGCATGCATATTCTTTCTACCAGATGATAGAAATATATTGCACAACAAAGTCAGATCCTAGCAGATGTTTCTTTTCACCTCCTTACAGCCTGGGACAGACTGGCTTCAAAAACGAACATCTAGTAATCTTCAAGATTTGTTGGCAAATGGTTTATAAAAGTGCTATAAAATTCTGGTATATTATAAAATCGTAAGCATTATAAAATCTATTATAGAAGTCTGGCTAATTAGCTCCCCTTTCTTAATGGCAGGGGTTAGTCAGAAGTTAAAAGTGGAATCTGTCCAAAGATCAGAGTTGTAGGCTCAAGGACATGAAAGATACAGGTTCACACCTGTGTTGCCGGATTTGTCAAGGCTCTCAAGTCCTCCTGCACAGCAGTATGAGAGTAACCAGACATACTGTTCAACTTCTGCCCGTTCTGAAATCTGGAATGGCTCCTGCAGAATTCCTTCAGACTTCCTGCTGATGGCCTTGCATTGCCACCCCACTAAAGCTTTTCTGGGAATGTGACTGGTTTAAAACAAACTATGAACAAAGCATAGCTCCAGCATGAAATCCACTATAATATTAAAGATGGTTTGAGGGGAAAGTGCTTTAAGCACTGATGTTTTCAGTACTTCATAGTTTCTTTTAGAGTATTGAAACACCTTAAGAATTTGTATTTATGATTTTTACCCATAGTCATGGATGCAGTTGTGGTCACTGTTGCAGTTGATTTAAAGTACATGTTTGTATTCTTAAATCTCATGTGAGAACTTTAAGAACGAAAATGTTAATCACTTAAGTACTGCCAAGTAATGTAAACTCTCTGTTTTGGCACTCAGTTATGCCTAACACTATTTCAGGTTTTATTTGTAATGTGCGTACTAACAACATATGATCATTAGTTTCTTTAACTCTCCCTGCTCACTGTAATGTCTCACAGAATGTCCTCCTTGATATGATCCTTTGGAAGGTTGTGTTCAATCGAGACAAACAAGGAGAATATCGCCTCACCATGGCCCAGCCTCCTCAGGTTGGAGACTAGTATTTTGCTGTCATCATTTGAGTGCATGCAGATTAATTCAGTGTTACCTTTTTATGATCTATAAGTGTCTGTTGCCTTATCTTAAGCTACTTAAATCAGATTTCTGTTACTAGAATATTAAAAGAGAAAGGCTTCTGGTTATGTATTTTTCTCCTTGTTGACTATCAAAGAAACTACCTCTGTATTAGAAGAGCTGTGAAGCAAACCCAGAGGATTGCTTTTAAGACTTTTCTCACTATATCTTCATGTTGCACACTAGAAATTTTATTTGCTTTTTCACAAGTTAGCGTGCTAGGACTGGGAAAGGCTTGATGTGCTTGGAATCAGAATTGCTGATGCTGGGTCTAATCCAGTTCTTTATTACATTGATTTGGTTGGGAGTTTTAAATCATTGTCTGAGAGCTGTAATTTATAGCATGTATAAATGAAATTAAACAAAATGGTAAATGAAAGTATGTTACTAACTTCAGATGGTTTAGGAGGCCATTAGGAGATGTTCGGATTTAGCTCCTGATTTTTCAGGTCACCAGAAATGTTGGTCATGATACATGAAGGAAATCTGTGTGAATCCCATATAAACTAGCTTTTTCTTTAGGCCTGTTGGCTTATTACTTTCAGTTGGTTATACATCTGTTCTTGCTAGAATTACAGTGGTTTATTTCTCAGCACTAATTTTTATTAAATGTATTCACTTCAGCTTACATTTGTCCTTTTGAGGCTGTTTAAGAATGAACTGCCTTGTGTTCACCGAATAATGGAAGTTGTGCGTAAGGCTCATGTTTGGTTCAGTTCACCAACTGAAAGAAGTTCAGAGCACAAAGAAAACCGGAGACTATATCTTTATTTAAATGTCAGCCATGTAGGTTATAGGTGCTCGCAGAGATGTGAGACGGATCCAGTCTTGAGAGTCAGGAATGGTGTTTCTCTTCTGCAGTTAGTTAAATGCATTTAGGACTGGGAGAGGAAAAATAGGAAGGAAGACCTAAATTCAATAATTTATGTCTGTTTTGATAACTATTGATACCTGTAGGACTTAGGTTTCACAGTATCAGCAAGTTGAATTCTGCCACTTTTGGCTGGCTGCCTTCAGTTAAAACAATTCATTGCTTAAAAGTGTTGTGAGACTCCAGGAATTTGACTTCTTTTTCTAGGCCAGGCTTTTATTCTTCAACAGTAACATCATTTAACTGTGCCTGTTATACCCTTGTTTATGGAAACTATTATAAAATATGCATAAAAGCTGTTGGTGACCTTTGATGTTGCAATAATGCAGAATACTTGGGTTTTCTTAATATTTTTTAAATGTCATTGCCAATATAGTGTAGAAGTAATGATACAACAGAAGAGTTTCTGTACTATACATTCTAGAACCAAAATGACAAAATAGTAAATTAGAAATTAAAATAATAGGTGTTCCAGCATTTTAGTGTGTTCTTAGTTAATTTTTTCTTATGGTAATCCAACTTTCAAATCTGTTCACTTCTGCAGGAGGCTGTGGATCGCTGTGGAGTCTCTTTCCTTTCTTCCCTGTTCGGTTGCAGAGAGAAGACGCCAAAAGCCAAGTATATGCATCTAGCTCAGGAACTGCTGGTTGATCCAGAATGGCCACCAAAACCCAGAACAACAACAGAAGCAAAAGCACCATCCCAAGAAAATGGTTCATATCAAATCATCACTGTAACATAACAGTGGATCTTGGTGGCATGTGTCTTTAGTAGTATTCGTAAGAATGTAATTTTAAGGCTTTATTTGAAATTGCAATATACTAAATGTCAAATTCTAATGCAGATATGTCCAACTGTTTTGTCTCCCTGAATACAAAGTTCAGAGCCAGACATGTTATGGCTATACATTTTAAAAATGTAGGTTTCCTTAGGCAGAACAAAAATGATTGTTTCCTTCCACCTTCTTTCGAATTTCATTATTCTTAAATGAGATGTATTTGAAGGTTTAAACTGCAGAGCAGTGAAAACAGGTTCATTATATTTGCCTGGAGCATCTTAATCATTGTGCTAACCTGCTTACCAGGGCACGTGTTTATGTAAACCCTATGGTGCAATGACATCAATGTACTAGAGGCACATAATAATCTTACCATGCTTTTCTTTTTTTTTCCCTTTTTTCATACTCAGCTGTTGAAAAGCTTTGTGCCTCAGAACGGTTCTGAAGTTTTGGTGTGTGTACCATGAATTTTGTCCCCGCTGTTAAGGACTGTTTCCAGGTGTAATGTTTGGGTTTTAAATTTAATTCTGTAGTCTGCCACAGCAGGAATTGGAAATGCTATAGAAACATTATGCTCTGTCCTTAAGAAGAAAGCACATTGCTTTCAAGTGGGTTCTTGGCTTCTTTTGTAGCTAACCCCAAGGAAGGGCTTAAGTGGCCTCCAGAGGAGGAGGCATTTGGCTACACTCTAAAGTTTTTGGAGAAGGAAGGCTGGAGAATCTAAACACTTTCTTCTGTGTCATGTTTTATTACATTTAGCTGTGCATTTCTTCACACACCTTGTTTTTTCCAGCAGAAGGATTCGATTATCCCTTTGTGGACCATGTTTTATTTGTAAATCTTAAGACAATTTTCCTATATACCTTGAAGTAGTAAGGCCAGAGTTACTGCTGCAAGGGAAATGGGGGTGGGAGGGAAGAATATTTTCACATGCCCATGCTTTGGGATTTGTGCATGTTAAGAACATACGCATTTTAAAGAGACTGCCAGTGTCTTAAGCACTATATGTAGCTGTATGAAACACAACTAAGTGAAAATAGATGAGCTAAAATCTGTCTTGCTACAGAACTATAAGGCTTATGTGTATTTTATATATTAAAAAAAAGAAAAAAAAAGAAAGCTTTGCATCACCAGTAATGCTGCTTAAGCACTTGGGGTAGCGGTACATTGTTTTGCCATTAGGCGGTGTCAAATACAAGACCGCTAAAAAAATAGGCCTGCAAAGATGTAGAAGCAGGCATCGTCTTCATGTGCAGAGTTTAAAACTTCTTTTCTATTTTATTGAGACCATAAATTACTTCTGTCCAAACCATCTTCAACTTGTTAAACTGTTAGAAAAGTCGGTTTTGGTGTCTTCAGGAAGATGACAAAATAAGGACTCTTGATCAGTCTGTTCTGACCAGATGCAACTGACTGGTTCAGACACCTCCAAGCTTTGGGAGGGATCTGGAGAAGTCACAATTCTCTAGAGAACCTTCAGAGAAGCAAGTCGGGTCCTTCAGAGGAGTTGTGACAGGAGGGCCCCAAACTCCCTCGCTGGCTGGGATCATTTTAAAGTGTGTGTATTCTGATGATGGAATTCAAGGTTGGGTGGTATTCACTGTTCTATGGGCTTTGGTTTTTTTGTTCTTTTTTTTTGTTTGGGATTTGTTTTTGTTTTAATTCCTGTGGAGACAACTTCATTCCTGCATTGTTTTAATATGGGGAAATTTTCAGGTCAGACCTAATTCCCTTGTGCTGTTCTGTAAGTCAGTATACACAGTGTCCCCCACTGCTGAGGTTACAGGTTCTGCAGCATTTACTGTGCCAATGAGGAATTTAAAAGTCGTGCTAAATGGTTTGGAAGACTTTTTCCTAGAACTTAAGTTATTAGCACTTGCTCCTCATAAATAGTATGCATATAATGTCCTATCCTCCAGTCCAGCTGCCATCTCTCTTCCTGATTTCTTTTTTTTATTGTTGTTTGTTTTTAAGGGGAGGAGCAGGAGGAAGGGGGAAGTGGTTTTCTTAGCATTCATTCAACAGAGCAGTGTAAAAGTCCTGGCTTCTTAAGGCCATAAACGTAGAACAACATCAGTAGCTTTTAAGGAGTCTGCAACTGTGGACTTGGATAAATTTATTAATCATGAACTTGAGTCAGTTGGCTGATTTCTGTCACTGTTGATTTTACACAATCTTTGTAGCATGGAATAATTGATGAAGAATAATTCTGAGCTGCGTAAGTAGTATTCAAATTTAAAAAAAAAACACAATATTTTAGTTGAAAAATGTTGTTAAGCTATGCATCTTGAACCTGGGAGCTGTGACTTACGCTTAAACGCTTTTGCTTTCCATTTCATTGACCATCATAGCTTGAGTGTTCCATCAGAAGTGAAAGAAAACATTTGTGTCTTTCCCTTTTAAATACTTTTGCTTAATACTTTCTCTAAACTGATAATTTCTCTTGGCGTATTTGATTCCTGAAGGTAGACTTTCAATCTGATTCTGATTAATTAGACTTATCTAGAAAGTAAGGAGGAAACAGCTTTTTAAGGTAAGCTTGACTTTGGAGAGCATTTTAGGGAACTCAGTTGCCAAGTGTCTCCACTTGATTGAGTGACTCATGGGTCATGAGCCCATTAAACTTGAATATTTTGCAAATGGGAGCTGGTTTCCTCAAGGTATGCGTTCAGAGTTGGTAAATGTTCTTGAGGTTGCATGCTTGAGCTCTGACCTATTTGCTTCTGACGCTTAGTCAAGAATACTAAATCAGCTTTTCTAAGAATCCTTTTTGTTGTTGCAAGTTCAGCCACAAAATAAGCTTTTGCATCTTCTGCAATTATTGGGATTTATGCCTTCCTGCCCAAGAGCTGAGTTTAGCCACCTATAATTTTTCTCATCTTGAGCAGTTTAGTTTTTCTGGTTTTCAGAAATGCAGCAAACTATATCTGCACTAGTGTATTCAGTTTCTGCTTTGAAGTAAAATGAAATTCAGTTTGTAGTGAAAAGAATCTCTTCTAATGTTCATCTTGGAAGTCTAAATTCAGGTGAACAGACTGATTTAGTGAGCTCCACTAGATACTTATTAGACATTTTCTTCCTGCTGTATATTTTGGCCTTACGTTGAGGAGTTTGATTTATTATTAAATTATTTGTGTATGCAGACTTTAATCTGTACGTATTTTACTTTGATGTATTAGGATTTGTAAATATTACTGATTTTTAAATATTATTTATGCACATACCTAAAGGACTGGTCTATCCAGAAAAGCAATTGCTAAATAATAAATGTTACTTTTTAGAAATAAATTGCAAGATCATTAAATTGTATATCCCTCAGGGTTATTTTTAAAGGTTTTTTCCTCTTCCCTTCAGATTCGATTAGCAGAAACTGTAGTTTCATGTACTATAGAACAAAATCTACTGTAAAAGCAACAAAAAAATGCTGTGAGTAATGTTTGAGTAGAAGCAGCTAAAACACTCACAGCACTGACTGTCCGTATTCATTGTAATGTCAATTGGAAACTCTTACTGTTGCACTTTTTAAGAGTTATTGGATTTTTAATTCTATTTATTTTTGTCTTCATGAAGGTTGTGCTGAACAGTCGTCACAAATTGGGTAAATTATCCTGTACTGTATGTGTATATACAGTATAACATTAAGCAGATGTGGAGTTCTTTTTATGCTGCAAATTTTTAATGCTTATGTTGGGCATCACAAAATGAGAGAGCTGAAGTTCTGTAGGATTTCTCCCATGGAATTCTGACTTGTAAACTTAGGTTTTTGTATGTGCAAGGGAAAGCTGTGGGGTTTTGACAGTTTTTAGAGTCTTGAATATGTTGATTTTTATACAGTAAAGCTTCAGGTTTTTAAAGCTATTTTCAACAAATTGCAGCTTGTTTGATAATTATGTGAACCAGAAACTACTCAGTTTGTCATGAATTCCTCAAGCCTAACACAGATTAAAAGGTTCATCATTACAAGCGCTCTCTAGAAGCTCAGCTTCCTTTTTATTTTTAGATCTGAAATGATACTACATCTTTGTATTTAAAATATGTATTGCTGCTCTAGAATGGTACCCTGTTGTCAAGAGGCATACATAATTAACTGTACAATAGAATTGTAAATAGATTGTAAATCATTTTTGTGACTGAAGTTCTTTGAAAATAAAATTAAAATGAACAGATATTTTAACTCTTCTCATTAGTTTCATGAAATGTTTTTTTAATTATTCTTCATACAGTTAGATCAAAAGCTTATTGAAGAATACAGACTTATTCCCTGATGTCATGGGTATCTTGTTCAGTGCCTGTGTATTTTTGAAGACTGGGTGGAAAAGTATGCATGCTGTTTGTTAGCAGTGGTACGGTAGCACTGCAGTTCTGCAGTGGGGTAATACTGACCGTACTTTTACCTGCTGGCTCATGAGAGCCATTTCAAAGCCAGACCTTGCGCATGTGATAGCAGCTTGTTTCCGCTTCCTGTTATCCACATGTTCCTTCTGCTCTTTGACACGTGGGAGGCGTTATCTTGAAAAGACTCTAGGGCAAGCATTCCTGGTTGTGAGCTGTCACTTTGCCGCAGTCGCCTCAGAAGAATCACGCAGAAGTGAAGGCGCCTTTTCCATCCTGTGGCTCACCCACCATTTAAATGTTCATTGTCAGAGCACGTGATTTTAAATTTGAAGATAAGATACTTATAATACCTGGTTACTTAATTAGAAAAACTTTCAATTTCAAGCTAATATTTTGGTAACTTAAAGCTTTTTTCTCTTCAGAATCTGTCTGGATTTAGGCTTTGTTGGCCAGAAGACTTGGAGGAAAAACAGAAGCCAAATAGGCCAACCCTGGATTGCTTAGCCAAAGCATTAAATAAAAAACTCTCCCTTCTTTACTCAAATTGCTTTGACTCCAGTCCTGCAAGAAAGTAAGTCAGAGCTCCTTGTAAAGGTACAGATCCGTCGCTTGGTTGTTTAAAGTGGGTGTGTCCACTCCTTCAAAACATAATGCGTCAGACCACAGTGAATCTGTGTAACAAATTTGTAATTTCTGATGATAATTCGTATTGAAATGTATACTTCTGACTTCACCCAGATTTGCACTGGGTTGGCTGAGGCACATGCTCCAGTATTGCTGTCAAAGGAGCTGCGTTTTCTGTGCTGTTGCATGTGTGACTTCAGGCTTCTCCTGTTCTGTCAGGGGTCTCAAAATCTGATTTTGGAGTTGCATACAACCTGTGGAAGCTGGCTGCTTACACAACTAAATATAGGCAAAATCTGCTCTGAAGCTTAAAATACTCTTTGGCCTTTCACAGTAGTTACGCAAACAGGGGTGAAAGTGTTATCTAGAGGATGCATTTTGCTGTTTTACTTCCCATTTAAAGTGTAGAATCATGGTGAAGCCCGATTGCCTGCTAGTAAGTTCATCTGAAAGGCAGATAAGTTTATAAGGTACAATTTAAAATTCCTTTTTCATGCTCACATGAGTTTAGAAACTTGCAAGAAAGTAAAAATGTTAAGTACCATGGTGAATTATATGTGTGCTTAGTATTCTATGAAATTAAGTTCAAAACTGATCTGTGACTTTTACTATAGCAACACTATTGATGCATTGCTTCTAGCATCCTTTTTTAGTCTTGAGAAATATTAAGGGGGTGGAAGAAAGGGAAAGAGGCTTTAGATTAGAACATGGTAAATGACCAGCCAGGCTGGTGTCCTTTCTGGAATGCCAGGTGTCTCACAGAAGGGTTTGAGGAGATGATGCATAGGAATGTATAATTATTATTATTAGATGGATCTTACTGTGACTTCCATTATAGAAGTTTAAATATTTCTTTTAAAAATACCATTTGCAGCTGTAGACGTTTGAGATCCATAGGATTATCCAGTTCCTGTGCCAGTCGTATGCTTGTGGTCTTAGTCTCTTGCAAGAATTTCTACCATTTTATTGTTTGTGAAAATGTCTTCAAGCACTTCTGAGTGTCTAACATTGTCTCGTTGCATACACTCTTGTTATAAGACCAGGGACACGGACATCCCCAGTCTAGTCTAGCATAAGCCTGTTTCTTTTTTTACAGACTGTGGTCTGCAGTCATGCCCTCTGAGGGACCTGCATTTACAGTCTTTAACATAACAATTTAGTTTGGGCTTTTTTTACCCCTCTTGTTCTCTAGATCTTCTTTTTTTCCATCTCACTGAATCTTGGAGTTCTGCAGTGGTCTTGGGTTGAGTTGGGGAAGGCTGTGATGCCAGTTAGGGTTTGAGAAGGAATTTTCTTGGTGTGTTTCTGCTGCATGTGGAGGGTTGTGCCCAGGCACCACCAGGAAGCAGTTCACCAGCTGCCTGTTCATCGTGCTGTGGGCGGAGGTGCCCATGTGGACAGGAATGTGCTCATCAACATGCCAAGGTGGGGATAAGGGGGTTCAGGACAGGATGGTTCTTGAGTTTTGAGGTGAAGGTTTATGAGGGATGGTTGGTTTTGGGGTGGGAGATACTACTAGGAAGACAGGATACTCTGACATGGAAAAGTCCTTTGGAAGGGTGAAATCTTACAGCCTGCTTTTGGTGACTTACAGTCTCATTCAAAAAGTTCCAGAAAGCCCAGTAAGAGCTTGCTTTGCAGCACCATGTCGCTGGTAGTTGATAACACTAGATGCCATGTCCTTACCTTCCCAAGGAAGGGATGCAGGTTTACCAACCTGCAGTACTCTGAACCTAACCAAGAATCTTTTTATTTATTATGTTCAAGCTACTCCCTTCCTTTGCTTTTTTTTTTTATATTTTTATTTTTATGCAGCAGCTGGTTTTGATCTCTGGTTCTTGTCAGCAGTTCAGGCATGTAAGAAGCTCTGCTATCTCAGTGGTAGGGTTTGTACCTGTGTCTATTGATGCTGTTGGGGGAGAGCTTCACCCTTTCCCCTGGAAAAAGGGTATGTTGGGATGGGCCCTCCTCTTCCCCAGTATTCTCAATGCTGAAGAGTGACACGGCATCGGCTGTGCCAGCTGTGTTTGCAGAACTTGTGCTGCTATTCCTGCAGTCCCAGCTGTTGCTTCTCCTACTCATCAGCCAGGTGCTTGACTTCCAGGTTTTTGGTACACTTAGACTTGTTGATTTCACTAAGGAAGTATTTCTAAACTGTGGATTTCTGTTTGACATGCTCTGTTAAATATTAGCATTATAGCCAGGATTGCTTTCCTGTTCCTTTTTTTGTTTGGAAATCTATACAACTTCCCAACTTCATGGTGTTTCGTACTGATCTACCTTTATTGCTACAGCTTTCTGGCTAACTTCATGGTACTTCTTTCCTCTCATTTCATTATATTTTTGATACCACCGATAACTTGGCATTGTGTTAAGCTGCTGAAATGAGACTCCTTGATTATTAGAGGCTCACTCCTGTCCTGTGCTCTATGAGTTCTTGTGTGTCATTTCAGACTATGTCAAAAATAGCCTGTTGCTTTTTGTGTGGTGTTGAGCTGTTCCAAGAAGTGAATATTTGCAAGTACTGGGAAATGATTTAACAGAACTTTGTGCTGCTTTGTTTTTAATATAGGCTGCTTAAAATATAGGACACCCTTTTACCTCCGTTATCTATTTTTGCAGGCTAAACTTTATTTTTAAACCTTGGGTAACCTACAATAAAAAACAGTGGGTACGGGACTTTTTGATAATTTTTTTAAAATACTTTCTGTGTGTAACTTAGAGTTGCTTTTCTGTTCAAATAAACGCATGCCTTATGACTACTTGGGGATTCATCATGATTTTCATATGATTTTTTTATACTTGACTAGTACAAATATAAACAAGGAATACTTGATTTACAAAAGAGTTTTATCTGTACTTCTCAGTGTAAGCTGACCACCTTAGAAATATTTGCAGTCAACAGTAATAGAGATTTTGAAGTTTTCTTTCAAGCCAAGAGAAATTTTGCACACGTTTGCAGGTTTTATGATATATTCGTACAAGTGCTGCTAAGTTACTATGTGTGATCAAATCCTGACTCTCTCTTGTCTCTTGTAACAGCTAATGTTTCTAGCACTTCAACAAAGATGTTGGTGTTCTGCTTGTCAGTGATGATCAAGCTTTTCTTCCAGTTGGATGCATCTATTTGTCCTCAGAAGTGCAACTGCTCTTCAAAAAATGCAATTCATTGCTCTGGTCCCCACATCAAAGACCTGGAATCCTTAAATCTGCCTTGCAATATGACAGAAATTCACATAACGGGCACTAATGTAACATACTTGCAGGGTGTTTTTTCTAGTATGGTGGAACTGCAGCATCTCATCTTGTCTTCAAATAACATCTCTCTGATTTCACCAGTGGCTTTTAAAGGCCTGAGGAGGCTAAAAGCCCTCAAACTGCTAGAGAATAAGCTGGTCGAACTTCCCGCAGAAGTGTTTGATGACATGGTACAGCTTCAGCAATTGATCGTTGAGAATAACAGGTTGAAATCCATCGAAGAAAACCTGTTTGACAAACTAGCTAGTTTGGAGGAGCTTTACTTGAACAAAAACCAACTAACAGCACTTCCCAGTGGCATGCTGAAGAAACTTGCCAAACTCAGAGTACTGAACTTGTCAAGAAATTATTTGGCAGCACTGCCTAGAAATATATTTAGTACATTAACCAGGCTCGAGAAGCTGATGCTGTACTTTAACAAGCTGTCTTCAATAGAGTCTGGTACGTTTGATAGCCTGAAGGAGCTGATGGAGCTCTTCCTGCATTCCAATAACATCCAGTCCATTGCCCCTGATGCATTTTGTTGTCTTCATAAACTGAAAAGCCTAACACTTTCCAGGAACAAGATTGAGGTTTTGCCCTCTGGGCTCTTTCTGCATTTGCATGACCTGTCTAAATTGACCTTGTACAGGAACCCACTGAAGTCTCTTCCGGAAGTATTGTTTGGAGAAATGAGGCATCTTGGTGGCCTGTGGCTGTATCACACAAAGCTCTCAACAATACCAGATTTTGTGTTCAGTAACTTGACAAATTTAGAGCTTCTTGTGCTGAGTTTTAATCCAGAGCTTAGTTTTCTTCCTAAGAATGTATTCAGTGGTCTGAATGAACTGCGGGGCCTTTCTCTGCATACAAATAATATTTCCAGTTTGCCAGAAGGCATCTTCCTGAGCCTTCAGAAACTGCAGAACATTTCTCTTTTTGATAAGAGGCTTGAGATTCTTCCTAGAAACCTCTTTCATAAT